CAATTGAAAGAGAGCTTGCGATCCGACCGTGAAGTATGGTGGACACAGAAAGTCAAAGAAATGGAAGAGGCCCAGAAAGCCGGTAATAACCTAAGATTATTTCAGTTGATCTGTGCGACCGGTCCCCGGAAACCACCTGTGAATGAAAGCATCAATCATCAGAATGGAATGACCATCTCGAATAAGGAGGAACGTCTTGATCGGTGGGTTGAATAATTTGAACAACAAATGTCTTGGCCACCAGCCGGCACTCAACTGCAGCCACAGGTGAAGTAGAACCCTGGACGGTGAACGTGGAACCACCTACGGCCTCGGAGGTTTACGACTGCATATGTTCTCTCAAGCGCCACCGAGCTCCCGGTCCGGATGACCTTCCACTCGCACTATTCAAAGACGGGGGTGAAGTCCTCAGTCAGCGCTTGTCCGATCTGTTGCATTTGGTTTGGGAAAAGGAGTCTGTTACTATTAAATGAAGTTTACTCTCTGTCAGCGACTGTTTTACTCATTTTCAAGACATTATCATCACGAAGCTTTGCTTGCATTTGGGAAAAGGAGTCTGTTACTATTAAATGAAGTTTACTCTCTGTCAGCGACTGTTTTACTCATTTTCAAGACATTATCTGATCATCACGAAGCCGACATCAGTACCCGTTTTCGTTCTTTTTTCAGGTTCTGTTAAATTTGGCTGTCATATGGAACAAGCAGAAATAACTACGTATGTTCATTCGTTTATTAATCCAAACAATACAATGGTGCGCTGGACAAACAACACTTATATGTGCTCTTTGACCAGATCTTTGCAAACTGGAGCTTCCATTCAATTATTGTCTCAAAGTGACAACTAGATAAAGTTGTATTCATTTGCTCAAACTGGCTACAGACCCATCAGCAAAGGGGAATGTTGACACTTAGTTTAATTGGCCAGGATGCCAATCATATACGAATAGAACCATCAAACCACATATCTTGTGAGGGCATTCAATACTGATGAATATTCACTTTTTTGCTGCTTTTTTCTAGTACCCAGCCATAAAACGCATTATATTACCATCATCCTAGCAAGTTTTGCATAAAAATCTTATACCACATTATCTAAAGGATCATCGCAAGAAATTTTACTTTCAAACAACATCATATGGTCTTCCTCTTGCTATCACGCGCCTATCATTTAAAGTGACAATAATCAGCTGTCCCCATCCCACGCACAACATTTTCTTGGCTATAGATGCATTTATTCAAGATATTTCGGCTAACATATCAACGAAACCCGTAGTTCAGTGAGTGCTGTACAACCGGTTCGCTGCAGTGATTTTACGAAAGCAAGAAGCATCAACATAGAGCAGGACGAATTCTTCAATTATACATTTTCTTATCATCTGTTTGCATGAATTCGATTTCAACGTTGAAACATGGATATCGATAATTTCGTAGCAGGTGAATCCATTCATTTACGGATTGCGTCTTCATAACAGCCGAAGATCACCATGGTTGGAGTTAACCCGACTACGTTCCCGTCTCCCTCCCATTAGTCCCATAAAGCTCAGTGAGTGAACAAAATCGGTGAATCCACAGGTGCTCTACCAGTACCATAAACTGAAACAGAGATAACACGTGTAGTATAAAACAATAGCAGCTGATGAATGTGGAATGCCGTATTTTAAGAGGCAAGTCTTGCTTTTTGATACCCGTGCTGATTACATTTCGTTATTTTTGACCACGTTACTCCAGTTGTTTGATGATGGTGTCAGTTCTCAGCTGCTGTCACAAAAGACTTTCTCTCATAGCATATTTAATAAATAATTTGTACTAGTTTAAAAACATGTCCCCAATTCTTTATGACTGCAAAAGTCAGTGCTAGTCCAATCAACATAGTCGACTGACTCGGTGTTCGAAATTTAGTGAAGTACGTCTTCCAGACGATCCTAATGAGCGTTTACAGCCCCGCACCATGTATGAGGAGTTCGGTAACTCCAATGTGTTAGCTGAGAAACGGTATGATGTTTATATGAGAGACAGGTGATTCCCGGGGACATCACACAACAACGGATAGCGACTTTAGTAGACACCTTAATCAATCACTCAGCGCCAAAGCTTTTGCCTTCTTCGCGTAGCTATTGACCAGGAAGAAGTGACGATTCGACGTCTTGAGGCATCTGTGACCATAATCCAAAACGCATGGATGTGTCAGCCAGAGTCCGTGTACCTTTCGTGTAAATATGAAAAACGTATGCTTAGAAACAAGCATAGGTTTTTTTCTCAGTTCTCCTCATGACCTAGGCTGCAGGAACTTATAAGTTTATTATTTCGCTTCCTTGATATAAATAAATCATACGTTTTGCCTATTTTATCCCATAGCTTGGACAAAATGGAGACTACATGTACAAAGGATGAACACTACCGAATGATTACAAGTGTGTTGAATGACCAAAGAATAACCTTCAACCCACTGGATATTGACGGCTGTCATGGTCGGCTGATGGTCAGTGTTCTGGTCCGCCTAGTGTTGTCACCAGATCCTAAGCTGGTTGCACATTCCCTTGAACTGTTGTTCAGGCATTACGGTCAACACGAAGAATTCGTGGGCGTACTAAAGCAGGTGATGAGTCAAAAATTACTTAAGTTAATTGTCTCTAAAATTGTGACTGATTAAATTCATCAAACGTCTTTATGTGCGTGTAATCTACATCTGTCTCACCAGACGCAAATTCTGCTTATGGAAGACCACGTGGAAATGTATCACCAACTTAGCTACTACTTGACCTTGTTGAGGAATCTCGTTGAACAGTCAGAACTATGGATCAAAAGGAAATATAGTTCAGCTTTTGAGGATACTGATGCTGTAAGTCGCATGTCACTTTTCTCAACTTTCCTGCACGTATCAATACTTTGAATAGTTGTATTTTATGTACCACCTACATTTCTACTGAAAATCTTATCAACCTTTTAGACACCTAGAGCAGAGCTCGTAACCTCTTGACAGGAAACCTGAAACTGGTTTCTTTTTTATTTGAAGTTTTGGCCCGATACTCTTCATCGGAAAATCGCCCTTGGTCTCATCAGGCGTAATTCAACAGATTGGTGTCGGATATACGAACCATTCGGACCTCGGCAGTCTAGTGAATGGCTGTTTCCTAAAAGCAGCACAATGAAGAGGATGTTAGTCAGGATTTAAATTTGAACTTTTCCAAGCACTGAATGAGTGAACATGGGACGACATGCTAGATAGAGTGAGACAACTGTTATTTTCACAAGATCTCTGATATTTTGCTTCAAACTTGACTGACATTTTTTCCTATTCGTAATCGTACAAAACTGGCGCTCTTTATTTCTTAGATTTCCCGGAAAAACATGATTGTCATTAAAAACGTGAGTTCGTTAAATTTGCTTTTTGTACGTAGATCAATATTGATGTTGCCGCTCGAAACGCACAGAATTTTCAATTTCATTTTTATTTCCAACTTATCTTTAATTATTAATTTTTCCACTAGATAATAACTAAACTCATTCAAATTTGCACTGCAACGAAATCCGACTATGTAAATGAGACGTCACCACAATTTATTCAATGGGCTTACGCTTCACACACGCAAGAGCCACAACAAGAGTCAGTGTGGTTGACAGCAAAGAACACGATGTCCAAAGGACAACTCCAGCAGCTGTTGAATCATTTGGGAATACAAGACATTCTGCTTCAGTTTCTAAACGTGCCTTTACATGTGAGTTCATAATTTCGTCACCCGACTGACGTCAATACATGAGGTATCACTCTCCTTCCATGTGCACAAATATGGGACACATCTAGAGTTGAAGATGTTTCATGAACATGAATGGTTTGATGTTGCACGCCCATATTTCCTAAAGAAGACGCATGTCCTTTTGATGCTGACACCACAAGAAGTTTTACCAGACTTTAAAAAAATAAATGGACATGCAAACGCTTTTGTAATAATCAGATTCCTTTGCCTTTTTATTGCACGGTTATAATCCAGGCATTTCTAATGTGTTGTAGTTGCAGGATTTGTAGAATTTGTTCACATCCTTATCGCCTAACCAGTCTCACTTCTGTCCTGTTTTGTCCACACCTGAGCGGAGGAGTGTAGAATCAAGGTTTGACTTTTATTAGAGCTTATCGGCAACGCGCGTCTCTGCCTGCGCCTAGACTGGAATCCCAAACATCTGACATGCTTAATACTGGTTCGCTTTCCACGCTGCAAAAACTTGAATAATCACGTCTTTACGGGTAACCAAATTTGTGCTTCATCGGTGTACTTATCGGATGCTTAGTATGCAATTTCAATAATTATTAGTATCGTCAAATTGAGTCCTTTTCATAGAAGAAAACCACACACATAACCCAAGCTGCGGCCCCATTTATTTCGAATATTTACCGTTACCGTCATTAAGAAAATGAATAATCAACTTAATAACGGTTGTGCTTGATTCGGTTCACCAGTCTCAGTTGTGACCTTACTGCCTTTCGCAAACCGTTTTGAACGTTTTCAACAAGTCTTCAGGAAGTTTAGGCTACCCACACGCCAACAGCAAGATGTGATTTCCCTCTGCTACCTAAAGTGCCACCAAGCAGAATCAGCTGGCTTTGATAGGTGAAGGAAACAGATTCTTAATTATAGTGGAAGCAGCACTGCAGTGATTTGTCCACATCAAAATCGGATCACAGGTAATCAACAAAGACCCATCGCTCAAGATGCGAGGTGGCTCGTAGCACACTTTGTAATGACCCACAAACCTAATTAAAGCAAGCAGCTGGTTTTTTGAACAAGCTATCTGACTGCTTAAAGCTGGAGCCTCGATTTTACTTGTGCGCTATATCTGACTACTAAGCAACGGGAAGAGAGAAGGTGCCCTTGAAAATAAATTTTTCTTTTGGTTGCCATTTCACACTCAGGCCTATTTCCACCCTTCCCACAGAATGACCAACTATCTGATGAGGTTTTGTTGTATACAAAGCAACTGCTCTGTATTCTGTGCGCGGACAACCCTCAAGGACAAGCAGTGATACACAGAAATCTGGATTGCTTTTTAACCGACAAAGTGAGTTGTTCAAGTGGGTCTGAGCAGACACATAGTCTGAGTTCTTCAGCTTTCTCGCCATTTGGGGCCAGTTCCATCCTTACATTTTGGCTTACTGTTCATACTATGAGATTGCTGCAGACTTTCGTTGCAGCTGGAGCCGATTGTGTCTAAGCTTTAGGTGATTTATTAATTTCCCATAGTTTGCTATCCTTCCTATGACTACTTATCACTAACAACGAAGCATATATCGGAGTAAGCGGATTTACCATCAAGACCCAAATCAACAATCAAAACTTTACATATGGAAATTGGAAAACACTGCATCATTCAGAAAAGTATAATTCGAACATACTGGGGTCCCTGGTCAGCTTTGAGTAGAACGATTGCTTGCTTTTTTCAACGGTGCTATGGTAATTAAATGTATTGCAATGGAAGATAAGCAAAGGTTCCAACAGTTGCTAGAAAAAAATGCTTAGGACTTTTGTTCGAGCCACTAGAACGTTTAGTGACCCAAATCCATAACACTTTCGGATGTATATAGAACCGTAGCCAGTTCAAACGAGGTAATAGCACAGCCAGATGTTCCTTATTCATTGACTCTGCTATGTGGGATGTTTTCAACCATTCCCCTAGCAAACTAATGGCGACGGAATGAAGCATCCGATAGCCAAACAAGAATTAATTATTCTATCGGACTGCAATTTGTCCGTGTTTGTTTTGGTCGGTAATGTTTAATGCACACAAGAGTAAAACCAGCTGTACTGCACGTACCACAGTAAACTTGAAGGATCGATGTTATAGGCTTACTGTAAACTGACTGAACCGGTAATTATTTAATTATCGTTCAGACTAACCACTTCTCAAGTTATTACTCTGGCAATCCTCAGTAAAGTTGTTGGTGGCACTGATGGTTGACACGAATTTCGCTTGGCGAAAAATTAATAATTAGCTGATAGACTGGATTATCTGTGCGCGTTACTTTTAACTCCCCACTAGGATGCACGTAACAGCAAACAGTGTCTTATCTGATCACCATTCTGACACTATCACCTTGACATGGTGGCTGGACTTTGGTGCTGCAATCATCAAGCGGGCTAGACTGGCTAGAACTTCGTTCCACAGGGTACAGCCTTGCCAGGAAGGCAAAAAGGGAGTAGCCAGACCAAGGGCGGCGATTCCTCGTACCACAAGTGGTTGTGCTACGAGGTGGTCTGTGGATAGAGTCCTTCGTGGTGAAAGTGTGAAGGCAGTAAGGTGTTTCCCCCGGGTGATCGTCATATCCATATTCATAGAAGCAGCTATGCTGCATTCCCCTAATGAAGGACGGGTTAGAAAGGGTCGGTCTCAAAAACCGCACACTCTGATCGCTTAAGGGTTGATCGTAGCCGCTGAAACATTATCCAGTACTTTTGAAATACATTTGAAACGAAAAAGGCTGCACGCACCCGCATCAGGAGTGAGACAGTAATGCCTTACTCCCAGCGCCCTCGGGTTAGGCCCCCCCCCCCCCGGAACCAAGCAGTTTATACTATTTAGTTATCTGCTTCATTGAGCGTCTCCAAAGAAAACTCTAGCACCCCTTGCTTTGCGGGTCAGACTTCTAAATCAGAGGCTAGGCAATGGTCACCGAACATCCTCCCAATGCTTCGTGGTTCATACTTCAAAATCAAATGCTCAAGCTGAAGTACCTCAACCAAACGCCCTTCCCCGACCTGTGCGACCGGAAGGTATCATTTCCCCTCACAGTCTTTATCCACTGATGTATCTCCCTAACCCCTCCGCACCACACAAGCAAGCGTTGTTGGGTCTCTTGACCGTCATTTATCTGACCAATGGGCTTTTGCACCCTGGCGCCTATTAACGATAAACGAAATAACACCTCGATAAATTCACGAGATCTTTTCTACTTAGAAGCTTTTACCATTCGTACTCTGTGCCAAATTGGCAAGCAGGCAACGTTCACTGACTACTTATACTCTCGAGAGAGTTATCGCGGGTGATTCCTCGGGCAAGAAGCATAGACATTGTGATCCCTGGGGGTAATGTGCATGCCCAAGTGGGTCTTCTGAGCCCCTTGGAATCATATTTGGGCGGTTGATTTGGTGTCGATGTTTATCGCACAAACAACGGACAGCGACTTCTCCATTTTCATGCTGATCATGAACTGTTTCTGGCCAGTACGTCTGCATCCCGTAACTGGCGGCCACCCACTGCAAACCAACCGAGAACCCAGTTGGGTCATCAGCCACCGGTGGAGAGTTACAGTTTCAAATTGCCGTTTCTTCCGGGGCACACATCTTAATTCTGATCACGCATTTGTGCGTGCACGCCTGACAGTTCGTTCTTCTCCAGGCCCTCGCAAGTCAGCATGTAGCAAGCCAATCCATTATCGAAAAACTACCGTAGCTCAACAATGTCGACCAGAGGTGGTTCAACAACTCTCTACAGTAGACCAATACTGTAAGCACGTGGATGAGGCACGACAAAATGTGAAAGGAGCTATGCTAACGACGTTCATGCTACCCGTCCGACGTCCTCGATACTACCAAATGGCCACTAGATATCATCGAGATTGCTGGTCCTAATTGCTGCCAGACAATTCATATCAGCAGGCAAAGAGTGCAACGACGCACGCAAATCCTTCAAATTCCAAGTAACAAAGAGCCTGAAGAAACACAGAGTTTTGGTGGACAATGAAAGCTCGGGAGATACAGAAGGCTTTTGATACAGGAGACATCCGTGTCCTATATCAATTGATGCAATCGACTGGCCCTATAAAAGTAACGGTCAGTGGAACGAAAAGTGAATAAAGGTCTCTTTAATTCACTCGCAAAAAGGTCGACTGGAAAGACCGGCAGAACACTTCAAGGAACAGTTCAGCTGGCCTCCTGAAACATAGCTTGTGGAGATAGTGCATACAGACGAATGGAATCCAAACCTTGATTAGCTGCTGGAAGAAGAAATAAAGTACGAAATGTACGTAGTGAAGCGTGATAAGGCGCTAATCTGCATCCAGCCCTGTTCAAAGACGGCGAAGAGCCCCTGAAGCCCCGTCTGACAAAGTTGTTTAGTGTTACATGGATCAAAGAGAAGGTGCCTGCAGAATGAGTTATGTTGACCATTATGCCCATCTTCAAAAAGGGTACGCGAACGCTGTGTGAAAACCATCGTGGCGTCAGCCTGTTAGCTGTGACACCGAAGGTGCTCCTGGCCTTATCCTTCGAAGGTTGACCGGACACAGCGATAGACAGATCCGTAAAAGCCAATTTGGGTTCCGTCCTGCGAGAGGATGCATCGATCATATCCTCACCCTCCGACAGATTCCTGAACAGCGATACTGCTTCCAGTGACCAACAGTGTTTGTGTTCCTTGATCTGAAAGCTGCCTTTGATTTTCTGGCCCGTCAGGCACGATGGCAGTGTCTGTGGAGCAAAGATATCCTCATAAATCTTTGGCCCCCCTTCAGACGCTGTATGCCAACTCCCGCAGCCGTGTGAAGGTCTACGGGAAGCTCTCTTCTGAGTTCACCACATCAAGTTGTGTCACACAGGGCTATCCTCTACTACCTTTCCTCTTCAACTTCGTCACTGATACGATCATGGAAGACTCACTGCCAGCCTCTACTGCCTGTGGGGTCGAGGTCCTCCCGGGGCGTTGGCTCGAAGGTATCGAGTGCTCAGGCGATATTGCTCTTCTTGGATCTGACCCAACGGTAATGCAAAAAAATATTAAATAATCTATATAATTTCGCCTCACGGTCTGGCATGTGCTTCACCTCAGCAAACTTCAAAGTGCTACTCCAAGATTATGTGGGCTCGAACCCTAGCCCCATGCTTGAAGATGAACCGATTGAGGTGGTAGACAAATTTGTCTGCCTAGGCACCTCTATCAGTCCTGATGGTATCACGAAAGATGATATTTTCGTCCAGATTTGGAAGGCCAAAGCAGCTTTCATTAACCTGTACCACCTGTGGCGTTGGTTCAATATCTGTCAACGGTCAAGTTCAAGATACCGCGGTGTGCCCTATATTATTATACGGGTCGAAAAGCTGGCCGTTGCGCGCCAGGGATGTTTTTAGACATCGATATCTTTGGAGTATTGCCCGAGTCTGATGGAAACACTGTATCAGTAGTGCTGAAGTGCATTAAACGGGGCTTCGGAAGAAATAACTTGCCTACAATAGGTGAACCAACCGCACTCCATAGGTTGCTCTGGCTTGGTTGAGTGCTCCGTGTGCCAGTAGGCCAACTTCCTCCAACATTCCCTTTTACATGACAACGAGGTTGTAAGCGAGCCAGGGGAGGTCAAACAGTGACTTGGCAAAAAAGTATGAAAGTCACCTCCAGCAAACCCAGTTGCATTGGTCATTGCCGTTTCTCTGGATGGGGACTCCAATTAAGGACACATCAATGGTTGAAGACGTTGCTACACATGACCCAGTCACGTCCTCAATAGTGCTCGTGCGTCCAAGCTATTACCTTCAAAGCAAAGCTACCATCCAAATCTCCCCAGTTAAAAGTCCGCTGACAACAGCGTATCTAAGCGGTAACCATGACAGCTGCTGCCTCCAATGCGCAGCCATTTACTCCACCTCTCTAAAGCATCGGTGAACGAAACTGCAGAGGTAGGAACCACCGTACAAAAAGTTAGTGGTTCCGAAAACTAATGATGATGGCTACTTACCAATAAAGTTACCATTGGTACTTGTGGATTTTGGGTACTAAGCATGGTGCTTGGTTTCAATTTTTCAAAAGCGCAAGTTCCATATATCTCCTATGTTCTTATCTCGAATTGTGAACAACCGGTGACTGTTTTATCCGTTGACAACGCTTGCTTCTCGTTAACTATTTTTCAGCTGGAAGACGCAGCAGTTTTTACAGCAGTATTGTACAAGAACGCACAGTTGTGTTCAGCAATCCAGAGGAAACATATTCGTCATTTTACCCGCTGTATCCAACTACATGGACCTCGTTTTGTATGGCTACAGCTACTGTCGGTCATTCTTAATGTCCACGAACAACCTCAGTCGTCACTTCAAGATATGGTTATTTCTGAGGTAAGCTGAATGGGGACCATCATAATCCGCATCTCGGGATAAAGCTGTTTTGTAAGGCATGTTGCCCTTTATTCTCAGTTGCAAATTTTAACGTAGATACTACCTTAAACACAAGTTTGAGCACCTTGAGATCCGTTCACGCTACTTGGATTTGCCGAAAAGTAATTTAACGCATGTGCATACTCACATTTATGGTTGACTTTCTTCATTGATATTCACATGGGCCTGAACACAGAAGTGCTCATCATATTGGAATGAACAACTGATAGACACAAATGACCCCCTCTGGGTGGAGATAACAGGTTTATTCAACGTCTAACTATGCATACGCACTGTCACTGAGAGTTTGGTTCAGAAGAAAAGATGAACTGACTCTATTCAACGTTGAGTTGGCTTTTTTCACTTCCACACTTTCATGAACCTATAGACGAATGTCACAGCCTGTTCCTAACGACTGCGCAAGAAGCTTCTTGATAAAATACTCACGGCAAAATAATACGTCATTGTATGCTGAGGCACAGCGTAGAATTGCATGGCATGGTAATGCATAGTGTAATATGGTACCTTATAGTGGGTGTATAAGTAAAGCAGTCCACCAATCCGCTCACTGAGAATGACTGCACTTGACTCGACGAAGTAACTAAAATGCCTCGGTTTCACATACTCATAACCATGACGAGTCTCCCAAAGCGACTGCCACACTTGTGAACCCTGATACTTTGTTTTAAATTATTGCTACTGGTGATGCTTACTGATCTGGTGAAAGAATGCATTTGAAAGTTGCGGAAGCTTGCAAAAACGAAAAGATGAGTGTTTTTATGGCTTCCGTTCTCTTGCTCTGTTTATATTCTAAGGGTCGCTGCTTCAGCATGAGTTACACAGATTGTGCCGTTTCTTCGTGCGCAGCGTGCGTTAAGACATTCTCAACATAACTTCCGAGCATCGTCGACAGGCTATATTCAAGGCGGTTATGTTATGTTCTCTCATGCCTCTTTCCTCCCTGAGTGAATAGTCCTTGCTTTATTCGTCGCATTTACTGGTGATGATCAGGTTCACATTTTAAACCTGGTGAATGAAAACCTGGCTTAAGCATTTTTGGTGCCATCGGTACAGCCTGAACTGAGGTCTATTTACTTAGCGCTTTTTACCACTTCGTAATCTTCTATCGCAAAGAGCGCTGTTCCAATGTTCAGTTCGGATTGCCGATATCCAGGAGCACTCAAACGATGAATAATGAAGAGCAGTGAGATAATTCTCTGTACATTGAATGCAGTCGTCTCTCAGGATAAGGAACACCTGACCACTGTGGCTGCAAACATTGAGAACTATAACCGCGATCCGTTGGTGCCCTCCATACAAGTTCTGACAGATGATTAACGGATCAGGGACCTCGGATATTAACCAGGGGTCAACAATGCGCACCTTTACATCTAGTTCTCTTTTTTCATAGAGATATGTAGTTTGCTGAAATGGAAACTTTGTTAGAAATAAAGCGCCGTTTTTTTGCGTCATGTAAGGTACTGCCTGGGGAAAAATCTATTTTGATGAAGACGGGTAGTGAAAGGTGAGTGGACAGACTTTCAGGAACACGGTAGAGGGCGGATGTGTAGGCCGTCGGCGCGCTTAAGTGTGTTACTTTTCGAATGGTATAAATACTGTAAAAAAGCGAATGCAATCTTAATAAATTGTTCTCTTAAGATGAACTCACTCATGATGGGTCAGCACCGGTCCATTTCTAAATGAACGAGGAATGTTACTCTCATCTGCGATTTTCGACTGTCCAAGTTAGTAGCTAAAAAGCTTTGACGTCTGTCCAATGATCGTAATAAGGGGATTTTCTATTGAATAATTGCGCTCTGTTAACGTTCCAATTTACAGCTGCTTTCAACAGGCGACGAACCACTGATGCCTCTGCGCGACCCTGATATCATCATTGACTTTCTGACTGAAAAAGGAAACGAAGTCATCATACCTGAAACCGACCTACATAAAACGGCATTTAATGAGTCACTCACTACCTCCGAAAAAATTGCCTCACACCTAGAATTGATCCATATTTTGAGCTCAGCAGCGTCCGGCAGGAACTCCTTTGTCCAGCTGAAGTGTCAAACATGGTTTCGACTAAATGATGTTGTACGATTGCTGATTCACCCTGTGTTACGAATATCTCAGTACGCTGTGCTACGTCATACCTACCTGACCTATCTGCAGAACGTGTTTTTTAATACGGAAATGGGTACTAAACAAGCATGGGCGCCGAGCAGCTCCGTTTGGTTGCTGTGGGCGGATTATGTCAACGAGTTTGACCAAGTAGGTCTACAGAGCGTTTCACTTTCCTTTATGTTATGTTGCCTGCAAGGCTGTGTTTACCATCCGGAGCAACTCTAAAACACATTTATTTACAGTATGCTTGTACACATGTAGTGGTTCTCCCTAGCCAGTAACGCGAATAACTCACAAACGCATTACTAGTGCTGGGCAGGGAGCACACTTTTTACCAAGGAAGGAAAACTTACGAACAGTCAGTCCATTCATCCGATGTGAACGCATTACTGAATGCTTCAGGTGCCAAGCGACGTCACACCCATTTATTCAGAAACCACCATTGTAAAATAAAGTACCCCGTGACCTTCGGGTTGTGTCCATCTGATAACGATAATATGTAACCGGTATTAAAACATTTGCAGTGTATTTCGTGAATGCATAGAGATCAGCTAGCTGTATCCTCGCTATGCTATGCTGGATCCCTTTCTTATATGAGACACTGTAACTTCAAACTTTAAACACTTTAAAAATGTGATACACTTATAAATTGAGATGCGCTTTGTAGTCATTTTTGAGATGTTCTCATGACTCAAACTATTCTTCACTATACTCTTCAATCCAAGAGTCTTCATAAACATATTTTAGGACCATAATTTCGACAGTTCACATGTTGGAAAACACCCACCCTACAAACGTAATAAGTGTACTAGCCCTAACACTATGGTCGATCTAAAGTCATATGTCTTTCTGTAACAAATGTACGTTGTCATAAAATGTATGCATGTTCTCTCATAGCATGGATTGCGTGGAAAAGTTTTAGCAGATTTAAACAGACCTATGAGTTCCATTGAGCTTTCCGGAATTGTGTTTTTACTCCAAATCTCAAACTAAACTCACTATGCTATTCTCTCTCGAAACGGGGCCACCCTGAGTAACTACGCCTTTAACCTATGGTGGTGAAGGGGAAGGAAATGTGCGGTTTGTGCTGGCTTGAAAAACAATCCCCAAAATTAGTAACAGCCGTCAAAAGTGAGTCCACGTAGTAAGCCACTCAATTTCACCTCACAACTTCTGTCTCCAGAAATGAGGTTAGCACAGATGTTACCAAATATCGCTTATTCCAATTACAAGCCCCGGTTGTTGCTTGAACGGAATGTATTTCACTTAACGTAGACCAAATGAGTTGATTAAGATGACACATTTCAGAGTCTGGACAACATCCTACACCAGAGTTTGAGTTTGGTTTGCTAGTTTAACCGAGTTTGGAGCAGATCGGTAACATCCTGAAGTCTAGTTAATAGATTATACGGATCATAATCCATGCGCTTGGTGCAATCCGTCCTCTTATTACTCAGGTGGACGTATGGCGGGAAATAGTGGTTGTCAACATTTTTCCTTTTGTGGAGCTCTATTTTGGGCAACCTTATTTCCCACCAAGTCGTGTTTTCAGTAGGCTGCGGAAAATTAAGGTAAAGCTAAGGCACTCTCTTCGGAAGTGGATATGACGCTAAGCACACTGTTAGAATATTTAAATAGAAATACTCATTAAGTTTAGGACAGCTCACAGACTAGTCCATAAGCGACTAATTTAAAAGGCGTCAATTCATCTCTTATATTTTCGATGACTAAGTTCTGGGCCCAAGCCACCAAGTAGTCATTATGTACTTTTCAAGGGTTACTGCAACTACCTTCCAAGACAGTGGGACAAATTGATTATTCGAATTTCTTTTCCGGTCACCCGGTGTAAAACCAACATCGGAAAACTCAGAAGCGCCGTGTCCCCGGAGGTGGCAGAAGGTCACGACTGAAGTTACTATATTTTATTTGCACCTTGAGCACCTGGCATACATAGGGTTGATTGTGTTGAGTGATTTTTCGTTTTTATCAAATGGGAGACGCATTTCCATCGAATGGCATCTCAAAGAAAGGAAGACTGAGCTAAGGTACGAAACCATCATGATACATGTCAGTCCAGGATACAAAATGCTTGCTGACATCTGAGCAGATGACCGTCGACAGAATATTACGGATACGACCGAAACTAATCACAATGGTGTCTATTTTTAGCTTTTCGCTGAGAATTTCTCCCGATTCGTGGGATTTACCATGAAGACTTTTATGCTTAAGGCCTCCAGTCCATCCAGCCAATAGAGACACGGACCACATCCTCTTTTCCACCCAGCGATAAAACTTATTTTATGCTATTGCCGGTTTTTGTACACAACTATTCGTTACTGCCACGAGGCCGTAAGTTATTCATGCCTGAGGGATTTGCTTTTACTCTCCAGACCGAATGGCAGACGGAGCTTCTACCGGACGAAATCAAATTCCGTACAAAACTTCTTTCCTGTCTCACCATCTTTTTCCGTGCTGCACCAGTTCAGTGCGCTGCGTCCTTTAAGGTAGGTAGATTTCCCATATAATTATACGGAGTTTTGGTCCTCTGTCTCATGAGGATTATATTCATGTGCTAGCAAAATTTCAGTAGATCAAACGGCGCTAGACAATCATGTGTCAGGGATCCTTTAAAAAACTTAGTTCAAATTTCGCTTTAGCATGACTGAGAATCCCTGATGAGTAAGCAAGACATTCCTGGCAGTGCGAACCTTTGAAAATTCATAAGATCTGTGTTGTGAACAGATAAATGGCAATTGGCAAGCGATGAAAGTAGGCATTGGTTTACAACGTGGTTTCACTTCTATTCCAAAATAGGATAATGCCATGAGAACGATCCCAGAGAATGGTGTTATGCATTCAACTTCCAAAAACCAGTGGTTGCTCTCATTCAGTTTACTAAATCAGTTTTGATTACAGCCCTTCTTATGTATAATCTAAAGTAGGTTTCTTTCACCATATCCATCACATTTGTGGACCCATATAATAACCAATGATATACTGTGGAGGACGTGAGCAGCTACCTGAATTTATAAACGTAATAGACTATGGTGGAAAGTAATACTGCGTCCCTTTTTTGTGGGCCGAATTCGATGAGAAAGAAATTTGTATATCTAGAGTCCAGGTAAACCATTCGCGGTCACATTTAAACTGGAATTTTCCTGTTAGACGAAGTAGCGACGACGCTGTTATGCATACTATTTAATCCTTGACAGTGATCAATACTGAGTAGTGCTCGATAAGTGGTCGGAAAGAGTTGGAGAAAAAACCGGGCACTTCAAATCGATTTCCCGTCTTGATGTGAATGAACGGATTGAGCTGAAAATCCTTATATCTGCTCGATTTGGGCGTTCTAAATGATGACCCGGAATAAGCCTGCCACATCAAACAGCACAAAGCACATGCGGTCAGGAGAGATGATTTCGCGTGCTTTTTGCGCTGAGGGGGGCATGTGCTACCTGGAAATTGTGCCATCTAGAGGGCTTGCTCTATGTATTTGACTATTCCCAATACGTCATGCTAGGCTCTTCAGTTAGAGCAGGTGGGGCAACACCTCTTTGGTTCCGCATCGCCAGCAATAACTGGCCTATATTACGGAAACCTGTTTCCTACCAACATTTTATGGTGCAGCAGTTGTACACAAAATTTCAGTTGCTAGGTCGGCGTTGCTTGAAAGGCTAAGCTCGTACATGGATCTCAGAATTCGGACAAACAGTTACAAGATGGTGTCAATATTTGTTTTTTCATATAACAAAGTTTTGGTGTTTAGCAAAAGGTGTCTGTGTTTATCACATATCCTACGTCTTGTGGTTTATACACCAACCATTTGTCGCACTGTCAAATCTGCCTCCACGAAATCCGTTCGAAACATACCAATTAAGCTCACTTATCATATAAGTACACCTTTACCAATGGAAAATTTCATCATGCCTTTCACTGATCCGGGCATTTATTCAGACGGCTGCGGAAAACGGACCGCACCTTTTTACCAACAATTAGAGTTAACTGCAAGCTAGGCTGAGTGGCAACCAACAGATGGTCAAAACTGACTTCAAAAATTTGAATTTCAGGTCCATCACTCATTGATTGAACGTTTACTTAACACCCTCGCAAAACTGTCGGAAACTTCTATTCGATCAAGTGTTGCTATTTGTGTACACAGCATTTTACACCTGGGTAAGTTCAGTCACGCTCAACGTGTTTGTCATGGCAACTAAACCGAAGTATTCCGAACACTGGAACTTTTGTCCCTGATAAAATAGCCAAATGAAAAAACTGTGACTCATTTTGAAACATGCCTTAGGGCCTGAGTCATGTTCTTCAAACTGTATATTCCGTCACGGATATGCCAATCAAATGCAACGTCTATTGCGCTACGTCACCTTATGACCACTATTGCTGTTATCCGTTTTACTGACCTTCTTGCGTGGTTGCCCATCAACATTTTCTTTCACACACCTCCAGTTGATTTCGCAAGTGTGATCATGTGGTGGGTGGGTTTTAAACTTTTGGATGAAAGTAAGGGCAGCAAATTTGGTAATAAATGGCTTCCTATACAAGGGAACAAGAAGTGAGGTAAAATTAACAGTCTAACTTTAGGCAGCCGGATAATGAACTACTACAGACTGACTGGTTTGAAATGCAGACCAGCCAAGCTCAAAGTTGACAAGTAGACTGGCTCATAAAGGCCTAATGCCTGGCCTTGGAAGCACACTATTCACACAAGACGTTCATTTGGAGATGCTCGGCTTTCTGTCATTTAACAGAATCTTTGCAAGGATTTGGTTTGCGCTATAGCGAAGATTGATTCTTCGGTACTGGCTCGTCTTCTATCGGCTTTCCTTTGATTGTGGGATAGTCGAACTCTTACGGTCTGTACATTATCAGTTTGTGGAACCTTGGCGAAAGGCTTCAGCGTTCAATAATAATTCATCCAGTTATTGACCTTTGAGGTTCAGGCTTTGCGAGTGGAATATGTGGTCTTGGCTTCGAATGAAATTGGAACAGCCTGGAGATGCGGTCTGCGCCATTTTCTGATAGGTCATTAAATGATGTCGGGAAACGTGCCTTGCAAGTAGTTCGTATGCTTTAATGGGCTTTTGGGTAATCCTGCTGTCGTGGATGTACACAAGGCCCAGCATGAATGACTGAAAGATTTATTTCGCTGATCTGAAGCTTTTATTATTATGCCTTTGGTCTGCATAGGATTTAACCTTTTGGATCCTTTAACCCACATTTTATCCCTCAGTTAGCCAGTGTAGTTCATAGTTTAATCATTCAGTTGCAAACATTCTCACTAGTACTTGACGGAGGCTGGAGAGTTTTGATAAAGGCTTTGTTTCTACTACCCAATGAATGCGTAAATACCATCATACAGATAGCCTTGTAATATATGGCTTCAGTTACAGCCGTTGTAGCACGATTCCTGGATATCGTTCATTGCTATGACGTAGGTGATGCCGGTGTAATAGGTAAATAATGCTGCCATGGATTTCCTGACGTCGGAAATAGCAAGTCCAAGAGGATTTCAGACAAAGTATGCAACCAGCGTAAAGTAAGTCACAGTTTACCTGAAAAGAATGGGTGCTTATTGATGCAACCTTATACTCTTCTTGAGGTCCAGTTTAACGAAAATCACCCGTATAATGTGAAGCGTGAACAACCTAACTCAAGCTTCGCCACATAATCTTTCCAGCAGTGTTACCTTTGAATTACCAAGGAAACTTCTTCCACAACGAAAGCCATTCGGTGATGCCTCACAGTACTACCATTTTCCCTCGATAGGTTGAACCGGACTAACAATATCTTGCAAAACATTATTAATGAAAGCAACTCCAATCCTAGCTTATCTGATTTTATGGCCAGTTCCTCGTGAAGAAGGATGAACGGGCTCATAAATCAAAATCCGTAACATCCTTAGAACGTCGTGTCCGTCGTTTTATCTTATATTGCTTCATCCACGTTTGTCGTTCATGCAAAGGTCAGCATCTTATGAAATAATCCTCCACGTCTCTGTTTGTAACACTTTGTGTTTCGTTTGGCCAACAATGACATCCTGAAACTTGGTGCTCATGTGCACTGATGGTCACCTGAATATGGATAAAACACTCGTGAAAAACCGGAAGGTTAATATTACTTAGCGATCGCGTCACAAGTGTGAGAAAAATTGCCGACCTTTTATCAAAGATCGGTCCAGCGAATAAATAACCTCTGTTTTCTGTTACTAACAAACTGTCTCATCTGATAAACGCTCTCAGAGTGCGCGTGCTTATCTTGCATCAACACAGTTTATTCTATCCATTTTTTTCAAGCGGATTTTAATTTTCCTGTCTTTACATCCATCAAACTCTAGCCAAGAAAAACAACCTTCATTTGACTCATGAAAACAACCTGGAAAAGACGTGCCAGGTGGAATCCGACAAATCACCAATAAGGCAGTTCGACAGGTTCTGCACACCGTTCCAAGGTCAAAGTGTCGATAAAAATGCTACGTCAAATGACAGCCATGAGATATTTCAGCAGACGGGTTTAAATAAGCCTCCGTTATTTGAGGAGTCTGTAGTCACTTGCACAGTGAGACCGCCTACGCAGCAGGCCGTACCACGAGAGCCGTCTGAAGACTTGGGAAACACCATACTACCCGCTGATGTGATCGACATACATTTAAAGGTGAGTACCATTGGTTTCCCGTTAGTTTATCTAAAATTGTGAAGGAGTCCTTTCCACGTGTGACTGAAGTGTGGACGTTTTCAACCAGAAAATACAACTGAATCCATAATCACCGGTTTCTCCTTGGTGTTTTTGTCCACTCGATAAATGTCATTGTTTTTAACATTATACAGGTGGATAAAGGGGAATTGGAGAGGAAATGTGAAAACCCATTGTGGATCATGGCACTGCATAGGTTAAATATTTTCAATATGAAGCCGCTTGGTTTAAGTTACTCGTGAGATAGCCAGCTGCTTATATGCCGCACAGAATAACCCACATTTTCACCATATTCTTAATCCCGACGGACAAAATCGACTAACTTTGATAATCCTATCACGAAAAAAGTGGAAGGTTACAAAACGCTACTTGTAGGAAGTGGAGTTGTATGAACATTCAACCGGTGCCATAGACAGTTATTTTGGTGCCAACCTTCGGCCAGCTGACCCACCATAGCATCCGGACGCATGCGGAACTCACTTTGTGCTGATGAATGTCGTCATGTTCACAGGACATGTTTGGCCAGACAGATGATTCATCAGGAGCAAAATGCATACCGCCCAGTCTGAAATGGTAGTCTCGACAAACAGGTCACGGGTGGGAACGACAAGGTGGGTCCCAATGTTTGACCGCAGGCTGTAATTCAATGCTGACATCATTCGAATAGTGTTGAAAAAACACTTCATGGCTTTTCGTTCTGAATTTCTTGCGGAGTGGATACAAATATATAAATAAATACAAACATGGTCCTTATGCATCACGGTCTGCAGGCGGTGCCGCAATTTGAATGACTGCAACCGATTCTGGTCCAAAAAGTCCATCAACTTCCTGGAAATTGCCATGTGGGATGTACCAACTAAATGCATTTTTGCACAAAATTCCATGCACTTGCGAAATACTGCTATCTTGTTTGGCTAGCTTTAAACATGGTTGGGCACTCTTGTCTGAGATCGAATTCTCCGAACTTCAGCTAGTTATGGGGTGATTCTTGTGCTGCAAAACAGCGGATTCAAAAAGTGAAGAAAGCCCAGTGGCGTCAAGATTTTGGCAATGCGTATCTGCAGCCAGCAGGTAGCCGTTTTCGCATATTGCATATTTTGGCAACCGAAACCGGAAACACTAATGAAACAATTTAGACCGCGATCGATGGTCTGCAGTCAATCCCGTCCATTCTAGCGTCTGGGACTTGCAGCGCCAGAGTAGTGATTTTGGACGTCACCCCGGGGCAAACGAGCCTTGCTTGTCGTGCCCTAAGTTCGGGCTGTCGCGAAAACCATACGCATAGAGTGGTTTTGACAAAAGTGCCTCTGTGCGGTTCGGGGCGTACTTAGCTAGTACGCCATCTCAAGTTAACTGATCTGAAAATGCTGAATATGGAGCAAGTTCTGTGACCAAGTTCCACGTAAATGTTATTCGGGTCCAATTCGTATGGTGTCATATTTATAGAAATCAGAACTGTCACGACAGTTTGTGCAAAAAGCAGAGTTATGGATTTATTACCAATATTCGGTGTGAAATTTTATGACTTCCCAATCGGAGAGTACGTTTCATCACTATCGTTTATGTTTTGTGACAGCTGTAAACCAAACAACAAGGTGCCGATAGAGAAAATAGAAATACTGGACAGAATTGCTCTGAGGTATCCTTAATATCAGAGACAAATATGTGATGGTTTTCAATATACATGGATCTCAAATGTAAGGTCTATCGACCACCATGATAACCCTACCACCACTGCGTGGATCGAACTTTTTCATGGGACTCTGGTGATTGTGACAGGTGCATGAGTCTCACAGAGAATAAGATGACCGGCTGTTATCACATGAAGGCGGGCTAAATAATTCATCGTGTGTCCATCTCTCATAGTCTGGCCCGTATTCACCGCCTGACTGTTGTGTGAATCTACTACGGACAATTTAGAGACGTCTAACAACGGACAGGAAGTTGTCAGATTTTCTATATTTCCGACTATCAAGCAGTGGCAAATCAAGCATTTATCATGCAACTCCGCAAAAATGAAGCAAAGATTCGTGATGCTGTGGCATAGCATTTTACATATGAACTGATTCCAACACAGACTGCGTCATAGGTTGCTGAATAGTGGGCCTTCTGCAGTGCACTCTAGGGGCTGTTCAAATTCCATATCTAACGATGTCTAGCACCTAGTGGTCGAATGTTTTGCGACCAAAAACGGCCAGTCAGCCGTATGTGGCAAATTTGGGATTTGTTCCAGCTTAACTGCAACAGATTAGTCAAAACCAAAGGGCATCTGATAGCATTTAGGTCCTCTCGCTCGGCATGGAAGCTAGACACAGAAAGGGTGTTTTGTTTGTGTTGCTACTGATGCACCACTATAGTTTCGACATTCATGAACTTATTTCGTATGACGCGAGATCCAGTAAGTTTCCAATGTGTACGCAATTATATGCAGAAATTAAATTGTCGTAAGTCATTTACTAAGCGCTTCAAATAGTTTAAAACTAACATCCCATGGTTATAAGCTCGTTCGGACAAGCTTGTTTGATAGACCACTTAGTGCAGTGAACCCATCCATTTCTGCCTTGGCTCACCGACCATTTTTTTTCAATGTTCAATTTTCTGCAGGGTAGCCTAACCTCCTTACGACGTAAAACTTTAATCTGACCTTCTTTATTTCAGCTGACCCAGTTCCTTGAATGTTATGGAACCCACTTCCCCATTCTCGACAGTCAAGTGCGTGACTTGCAAAGTTAACAACATAGACTGACACGGTTCCTGTGGAAGGCTGACGACTGATTTGTCATTCGGTTATTGTCGGAAGTGTCATGTCTAGCCAGTAAGGAGAACCTGAAATATAATGTGAAAAATACACAGGAGCGTTGAACTAATTCACCCAGTTGGTCATCACGCACTTAAGTTTGAGCTCCATCTAGAGAATGGGTTCTGAGCCAATATGCCGGGGAGGTGCCCGCTTATCGTCAACGTGCGAGTGAGATTTGGGTGTTCAAATGCTGACGACCTGCCAGTTCACTTCAAGTCTCCTGAGTTAGAAGATGAGCTACGCGATGTACCTTGTATGTCTTGGTCTATTCCATCACCCACTGTTTGTTTACGAGTACAAATCAGTTCTGATGTTTTAGTGGGTAACTGACCGCAACGCTTCTAATAATTTAAATGGTGGGTTCTCGTGTAGTATTATTTTATTCTGTTCACGTCTGCAACACAGGTACTGCTTCCCTACCCCGACTTGCAATCTGCTTCACTTTTCAGCTTATTTTTCGAGCCATTGAAGTCCAGTTACGAACCACGATCAAACAAGAATACCGACAGCTTGCGTATGAATTATGTACATCTCAGTCTTCGATGTTATCAGAGAACGGGTTTCGGAAGGGTCTCACTCTGGATACTTTTATGTCTTCGTGAGTTACTCCAATAAGGTTATGCAATTTATTGCTAATAATTCATTCGGAAAAGCTTTTCAACATGAAATATTGAGATGCCGGTGCTTTCAGTTCAGCCAAAATAAAGTTGAGGCTTATGCAGGAGTAAAAATAAATGAGAACCAAAAGGTACAGGGAAATAGTTAGTATAAAGGAGGAAACAAGCCTTTGGAGAAGACATCAGCAGATAACATATGCACCCAAAAATTTCACAATGGATCAGCTCTTAACGGCTGTCCGATTAAAACCTGCCCCGAATCTCGAGAGCCTACTAGACTCTGCAGTAGACTTGAACGTCCTCTTCAGCGCTGAGACTAGGCGTCTGTTGGCCCTAAGGGTTGCATTCTCCTTTCTTGCTTTATAAAGAAAGTTTTATAAATACCATGTTGCTGTTCAGAGATATCATCTTTTGTCCGCCGCGTCATTTAAGGTGACATACCGTGGCTCATCTGGGAACAAATTTTGAAAAATATTGTGCCCCAGCTTCAAGGTGATGAACCCGGAGAAACCGACCAAGTAGGTTTTCTGTGAACAGGGCATTCAACAGACTCATTGACCCCAGGTGTAATCAGCAAGTCCAACTACGGTAGGGCGTCATCAACTTCTTGTTAGTAGGCTGTTGAGAGGCTTAAAGAAACCCCATGACCTGTGCCTTGCCCGTAAAAATGACCAGAGTGCATTCAGCATCGTGCTTATAGTGGGTTGGCTCGAAATAAGACGATTTACGGACAAGTTTATAGAAAGACAACGTGAATAGTCGGGGCAAATATCTTCACAGTATACAGTTTTGACGCATTGGTCATTGGTACTAACGGATAATTCCGGACAAAAGTATGCAAGGATCATTTATGTAAACATAATCAGTTTGGGATCAGAACGTTTTAGTAAAGATGACGAAGAGGTACTATGCCTGTTTGGATTTGTTTACTTGAAAGTATCAGATACATCATGAAAAGTAAACCATGGAAAGCAAATTGAATTCCTAGTGAAGGTACTGCTTGAGTTCTGTCACCGAAGTATTGTGCACAAAGTAGGCGTTGACTAGGTTGATGAATCTCCATTCTCCATTCGATTCTCCGTAGATATCTTATGCTTTCTCTAACGATGTCCCAAAGTTTGCCGAGAACCACACTGTTTTACAGTATTTGTATAAACGCTCATTTGCAAACAAATTTGATTTTGCGAGACTCATCTGGAACCCAGCTGATTCTCTCGTCTGTGATGTTTCCAGGTAGTTTTGTTTTATATAGGCTGTTCGTTGATAACTTAAGTATTGTTTGTTGAAAAGGTAAAGGATATGCCATCTTGAGTTCATAATTGGGGGCAATCAATCCCTTGGACTTTCCTGAATTTCTTGCACTGTTCTCATCATGGATTGACTCATTCTGTTTCCGAGTTATGTGCTCTAAGTGAACACTTCTGACTTCTTCCAGAACATACACCCGAAAAGAGATAGGGTCTTTACTGTAGTACATCATACTTGTGTGATGTTGGTATTCGTTCTACTGACCAGCTACATCAGGAGGACAATAGGAATAAGTGGACATTACATCCACTTACCTTCACCGGTGCTAGCCGCAATGTTATATGTCGCAATAGAAATAACATGCAATTAGGGACTGAGTTTGCTCAGTAACATTTTTTACAAGCGAAAATAACGCATGAAGTACAGCGCTAAATGATTTCTGCTAAGTTGCAGGACAGATTGAAACTTGAAAATCCTAACAATCGCTAACTGAGTCACATGTCACTTCTTTGCAGGCTCATCCGGCATGCACATCGGCTGATTGATGAAGGCGGCAATGGAAGATTTTCGAAAATTTTGGATACACTAAAGTCCATGGTCGCAGTTTCCCAGCAGCAAGTAAATTTGTTATCCGCTAGACTGACGCTCCTTTTTGTTGAATGAGCATTGTCGTTGTAGATATAGTTTCCTCCACCAATAATAAAACAGCATGAACACCACCACAACTACACACATGAATAACCGGCCGTTTATGTACAAAGTGACGCTAAGTTCAACTAGTATTATGCGTGGATAAAATACGGAAATTTTCCAGGATGATCTTACTGAGTGGTCAGAATACACAGACTCGTACCAGGCTTGAGAAAGCTGTCTGGATTTGTTAGTATGATACCGAGTATGTACCCCGTGTATTGCAGCTTTGCATCATTCCACATTTCAGAAAAAGTACCCAAAACGCTCCCACTTCCCTTTGCATGTGGTTTGCGAAAGTAATTATTCGTTAGTGTCACTTCACGCTACAATTACATGAGCTCAACAATTCACTTGAGCATATAGACGAAGATATCAAGCAAAAACAATGTGGGGTAACGCTATCAGACGGTTATCATCAGGGTGACTGTGCCGACCTTGACGCTAACGTCCAAACATTTTATCGCCAGTTAATGCACCGAGGCGAAACAGTATGTAACCACAGGTTTGCCAGAATGTGTTCAGATCTGTAGCTAGGTTATTTTTGAACTTTTAAACGAGTGATGGAAAGATTTGTCTCAAGCCTCAAAGCTACGCTTATCCAATGGTACAAAAATCTCAACCTTAACATCTACATGAATTCGTCACATTTGGGTATACGACGAAATTTCGCACATTTACTTCTGATCAGTTTCGGAGATCACGTGTTTCACTGTACTGACTGGGTGCTTTGCACTTCACCCTACATCTTGATAGCACGACCTCTTTGAAAACACTCAGAACTGGTCGTTGGCTTGTTCGCTGAGCTGGGCAATTTGGTTGCAAACGTTTCATCACCAATCGAGGTGATATCATCAGTGCGTAGTTGTGCGTAGCGGTGGGTTAGTGGTTGTGCGTTCAGTAGTGTTACGTGTGTGTTGATATACGTGCTGGTAGCCGAGGATGACCTTTGACCGCGATTAGTTATTCCGTCGGGCGGTTCCATTGGTTGTTCTTTTTATCCCGTGTCCTCATTCGCCGATGCTCACGTGACTTTTGAACTTGACATCCCTCGCCGTCGTAGTCTAGTCGACGTTGGAGTGACCTTTGTCCTTCCGAGTTCCGGTTGTGACCTCATTGATTTGACTCCGAGGAGTTCCTTGTTTCTTCGTTTGTGAATCCATTATTCGGTTCTCCTTGAGTGTTTCGGTTGCGATGTTGATCTCTCGCGCGTAGAGGTGCGTAATTTGGATCCAGTTCAATGAACCGGTTTATTGAACCTGTCGTAGAGTACCATGCTTCCAGAAATTCTCTTCCATGTCGCGTGTCTCCGTATGCCAAAATTTTCGCGTTTTCCATGTGTTTTCCAGAACTGCAAATCACTCATATTTGTGGCAGAATATACTCGAATTTAGTCTTAGGCTTATCGGCTCTGGCTGCTGGGTACGTAAGTTCGGTTCAACATCCAGTTTCAAACTCTTTGAACGTCTTCGACTTGGTTTCTGTTCTGAGTAATTGTACAGAAGTTGTTCGAGAAAATATATAAAGATACGCACTCTACATTGATAACCATACTTCATGGCAAACGTTCGCAAACGATTTCTGGTGATGCAAAAGCTGAAGTATTCTACAACTCATGAGAATTTTCCATTAGGAGGCTAACTTAGATACAAACAGTCCAGTCATACTGACAATTACTGAAAAATTTGTCACTTTCAAACAGTTAAACGGATAGAAGTATGGACGAAATTTCACCATCACAGGAGGTGAAATGACTCCCGAAATTTGAGCTCTGGAAGCACTGGAACGAGTGCTAAAACCTAGAAGTATACTGCTCACAAGGTCGCTGGAAACTTTTCAACAGTAAACTCGTTAGTAGTCTCCTTAAAAAAATCTACTGAAATATCTCGAATGTCGTACCAAGTGTAACATGCGGCGGCTTGTGTGCAGCACATTCAGTCGGAGAATATCATAAGCGAGAGATCCAGCTTGATTCATTTGCGTACCAAGTGTAACATGCGGCGGCTTGTGTGCAGCACATTCAGTCGGAGAATATCATAAGCGAGAGATCCAGCGTGGATTCATTTGAGTTCCCACTCTGAAGCCAAACTGGTTTGCCAATGAATATACTTTGCTGAGTACTATAATCTTTTCCTCCAAATATCTATCATTGTCCATGTGAAGGTCGAGTCTTTGCTCTTAACCGGGGGGGATTGTTGCGCCCATGGCCCCAACGAACCTTGCATGGTGTTACGCCAAGCTTCAGGCACACACCGCGGATTATGCGAGTTAATCATCAGATGTGTCACAGAAAGTTTGAATAACGAAGCGGTCTACATCAAAGCTCTGGAAATCGCCAACAGTTTACTGGCGGAAGGAAAGCGTTCACTGCAGGTTAGTTTTGAATCTCTTCTCAAAACGCATCCGCTAATTCTGGTTGAAATATGGTAGTCATATACAAGTTCCGTGTCTTCGCTCCCCTCTATGCGTATGTAATTAACCCATCAACGTACCTAACTTTTATACAAACAATGGAAATTCGTTTTATCCTATGGGTGGTTTCGGGATTTGTAGGACCATAGTCCACATCACCCTTTCGAGCAGTTTTCCCCCTATTCTAGTGTAATTATTCCGGTAAGCCAACACTAAAGCGGGAAACCATTGGGCTCGCGTTTCACTCTTGTTAAACCGGAGTTTGAACTCCGAACATCTGATATACTAGGCAACCGTGTTACCACCACCCCACCGCCGCATGCTGGACGCACCCGACCAATCGCATTTGAACAGCGATCATTTGATCCGCCTATCAGGACTTTCCAGTCAGGTAGCATCGTGGAAGCCTGAAACCCACCGGGCAATTTTGATTTCCAAATTTGGTTTCGAAATTTGTAGAATCCAAGTCTTGACAGTTACTTGGTCACAGACGTCGGGAATACCAGACGTGTTATTCAAGCCTGAACATGTTTGGCTGCTTGGACTTGATAATTCAGGTATGTCCTGCATGCGGTGGCGAAGTACCGGTAATAGGCTTGTCCCCGTGATCAAGGATATGCACTGCACATTAGCTCTAGTAGGAGCAAAAGTCGAGTCTAGTGCCTTCCCCCGCTTGATTTGGACAAAGCAAAACGGTTGTGCCAGTGCAGCAGGACGGTTTTTCTAAAGATAACGATGTGAACATCAGCAGTTTATGCGTGAACTAATACGCATTGAAGCGAAGCGAGGCACTTTGCAACAAAGTAACTATCGAGTTCAGAACCTTTCAACGTAAGAGCGTCTTATACAGCAAGTTAGGGATATTGGATATTAGGTGTGCGTATTTAAACACTTCACATCATGTCTACTCATTACGCATTCTCTTGTCCATCAGTTCTCCTAAAGTAAAATTTATTAAGTGTCCGACTTACACTACTCACCGAAACATACAAGCTCCGTTACAAATGCTCCACTCAATTATCGTCCACTTGGCACTACAGAGAACTCAGCTTACACTAATGCGTTTACTGTTTACGGTATTTCTGTGTGGTGACTGAAAATCATTGATTCCGCATTAATCCACATTAACACTGAAACATACTGTTAAAAGCAACGGAAAACTGTGTTTTTGTGATCTCTGGCAAAATTTTTCATAAATCTAGTTATACCTAAGGAGTTGGAAAGCACTGAACTAAGGTGGATTAGTGCAAAACCCAATCAAATCCAACAAATGTGGTCTTTCACACACCCAGAAATCAGGGTTCAGGGAACAACTGGATTTTTTGCCGTTAAAACTATATGCATTAATTGGTAGCTTTTGAGCATCAGTAACAATTACGTAACTTCGTTCAGACAACCCCCCAGATATTTAGATTAGCTACCCAGGAAACATACGTAGCTTCATCATCTTGCGGCTTGTTTTGGGAAGTCGTCTTGTTAAGCATGAGACCTTTTCTGCCTAAGAAAATATGGTAAGACGGAGGGAGACTCAAGCATAGGTGGATGGAAAATGTCGGACTTTTAATACTGTTTAGCTGCCTTGAAGTAATTTTTACATGGAGGCACGAACTACCATGACAAGCAGTTCTTCTGGACAGAAGAAATAGCTTTGTATTCCCGACTCGGACGTAAAAGTGATGATCTGTGTAAAAAAGAACTCAGTTGGGGAATTAATTTGAGAGGTTCTTCACAACATCTGCTCTCAAGGCTGATGAAAATTGGTAACGTCCGAGAGCTGAACTCTGTAGGGTATGTTGTGGCCAGACGCTTGTCTGTCACTAAATTATTCCGTATCTTGACACCAACGTCTCCCTGTTACTTTTGGAGTAACAGTACAACTTCCGCATCGCGAGGAAATTTCCCGAATGGTTGCACCACTGATGTGGGGACGTACTTTCAAACTGTTACTGCTAGTTTGTTGGGTACATCAGAGAGCAGCCTTCTCCGCAGAGGTTTACACCACAGATGTTTTTGATAGTTGGACTAAGAAGACCAACCTGGTAACCATTGATCTGTTTATTAGGCTCTAGCGCCTTGTATTTTCGCCATATCAGTCAACCTATTACTTGCTGCTGACATGGAAACATGTCGCCTCCGGGAATTACTACTGTCCTTTGTAGTGGCCTAAAGATTTTGTCGTCTGCTATTAAACAGCAGCTCTTTGAATGTGAGATCAACTTACCTTCTACGTTACAGCGATTTCTTCAATGGTGTTTTTGATTGCACATGCTGTGTGCCATCCGTTTAAGCGTCATGATAGTGTGCGAATCTTTTTCAGCTTAACTTTCAAGTTTGACTTGGTTGTATTGTACCCGCGCTTTTTAGACGGTAAGCATCACAGACCACTTCTGAAACTAAGTTCTGATATGTAGTATCGTGGTCTTCCACCCTTTATTTATACTTTATTCCTTGAAATACTTCAGTTTACGGCAAGAAGACAGAACCAATACACTGATGTACATGTTCTTCACGCGGGTCTTGTTCATCAAACTGATAGGTTATTAGAATATACCGACGAAAAACGGCAAGCTTCTGAACGTGTCTGTAATAGGAGACCAGACATCCATCGCGACTGGTTTTACATGTGTTACATCTGGACAAAACGGTTCATAGAACAGAAATAGGAAAATTCTTGAGGGTGTAGATCAATGGGTGCCATGTACTTTTCTCATCGGTACACCCTAATTGTTTTATTCCCATTCCTTGGAAGGATCAGTTTTTCGTCTGTCTCAACGAAGATCGATCAGGGGCAAACTTTTTCCACGCCATATTTCGGTGTTTGCATGCCATACAAACACAACTCAATGTGTGCAGTGGATCCACAGATTTGAGAAAAAACGAAAATGAGTGCGTGGACTATTCGAGTCTGCCATTTGGTACGTGCGAACATTCTGGACAAAGTATTCATTCAGGTCCTTTTTTCGAAATATTTATTACTGTTTAATCTGAACACAAAACAATGCAAACTTTGAACTTGCCAACAGAAGAACCAAACGGTGGTTGCCTTCAGACGACCGGCACCTGTTTACCTACATTTAGTCCAATGTTAGATCACCAATCGATCCAATGTGGTGAAGTCGTCCAAACATAACCATTTTCCGTGCAAATCTGGAGTGATACTTGGAGCAACCACAATTACTGACCCATTGCCAAGATCCGGAGACTCATACAAAAGATAGCTCCACATAGTACCTAGTGTTTTCTGTTCCCAGCCCTCACAACGCTCATTTTATGAGTTTTCAATACGAAGCTCTAGACTCATGACTCCTGCAAATCTATAAGTCACCGAAACAAATAAGGCAATTTTAAAGATTATCTACCAAACTGGGCATGGGCGCCATACGTGATACGTCCTACTCGCAACACCCAAAGGAGGAAAGTATTGTTTTTTTATTATTATTGACTAACAACTTTAATTCTGTCAGTACCAGCAGTGCACAAAAATTAGATTGAAAACTGCATCAGGTGTGTCAACGAGGTATGTAATACCGAGCCAATGATTTTTTGCTATTCTCAGCTTTACCAAGTGGTGACATGGTTATATCTGACTAAATTACTCACTATTAGGAGAGGTTATCAGGGCGGATTCTCGCGTATTGGCAGTCCAATACAGGTTATGCCAAGTTGTCCCTCTAAATGAACGGTATTCAAGGCTCATCATGGACAGGACGACAACAATTGCTGACACATTTGTTGAGAGCTACTTACGAACCATTGCTTCTGGCTGCTCTCTTCATGCTATGGATGCAGTGGTCAGTCTCTTTCAAGCGGCTTCCTGCGCACGAGAACATTTAGGGCCAGAATGCACACATGCGACGGACTTCACCACTCATGAATGGGACCGCTTTCTCCCAGTTAGTTTCAAGTTTACCCCAGAAATTTAAGATAATCAGGTGTGTGCTTCCTGTGGTGCAATAATTGGTGGTATGTTCTATTTGCGGCATAACAATGGACCAGAGAATGGTCAAGAGCTGGTCGCATCATGAATATGTTGGATTCGTGTTTTATCTCACTACTGGTGTCTCTCGGATCATATTCATTCGAATGTAGGCCTAATGGCCTACTGAAAAGAGGTTAGAATGACAAACTATCTTACAATTAGGTAATCAAACGCTGTTACATCGCCCGTCCATTCAAAATAACCCGGTGACGCCGAGGTAAGTGGTTTGCATAAGTTTCCCTCAAACTTTTCGAAACCTCCCTGTCGCCACAATGATGCTCGGAATGCCGCCATCGCCTCAAAGGACAAGTAAATTTGGGTTGAGCACAATTTTGAACACCTGGAGCTGTAGGCTGTCTCTGACATCATGCAGTCGAGTAGAAAATGAACGACACTGTGCTCGAATCTCCATGTGTATCATGATTTATGGGCAATATCAACCCAGGATATTCTTCCAGCGAAATCATCCCTCTCTGGGAGAAGTTTGCCGTAAAGTAAATACCCCGATCCCCTACGGAACCGCGATGCAATTAAGATGGAGTCGTAACATTCATACCACAATTGTCGGGCTAAGCAAACACATCAGCAATCGTTCAGCGCACCAAGATTATTATTTTTTCTGAACAACTAATAATAAACTTTTTTCAGGTTGCACTCTCAATTGCAAATTTCGTGGATCCGCATGTTTGTTTCTAGCTTTCTTCTTTCTGGTGCATCGTTTTGGGTGTGTTCAATATGAGACCTATCACCACAAGGACCTATCATAAAGACATAATGTGACCTTAATTTTTGCCGCCCTCCAGCATAATTTCGCATTCCCAGAGGTAACTAGCTGTACAAAAAATGAAATAAAGTCTGTGGTGCTAAGTTAGTGAAGTTCTTTTGCCATATCCTCGGTATCTGTGAGATGACCACTTATGTCGTCGCTTCATTCCAGCCTGGAGGCAAAACACCGGGCGTTTAGTAAGTGATCCATTAAAACAAACTTATTCCCGTGCAGCGCGCCAGTCACTTGGGCTTTCCCAAGACTGATCTATCACTTTAACTACGGCTCCTATTAGAGTTAAAGTTGTGAAGCGAAAACCATGGTCAAATATAAGCCCTGGTTTGCACATGTTTCCGCACACCAAACAGGGGCAAAAATACCTGGTGAACGGGGGTTATGAAGCTTTTTGTGGAATGATCGTTCAAAGATGCCAGTTTTGGCATCTAGCACTTTTCGTGTCAAAAACACTCCGCATTAATTGTCCCCCTGTGATGGTACTGGTGGCAGTATTCCAAATGGATGAAAGTTAACGTTATGTGCTAGCCCAAAAGAGTAGCCTTCAAGACTGACCCAAATATCAGAGCACTGGAATGACTGGTTTGTTGTTAGATTGAAAGTGTGACTCAGCGACCACAGTAATTTGAAATCTTGTGCGGGCAACTTGGATAAATTTGAATGTAGCTCGTACACACTTTCGGTACTAACGTATGCAAATTAAGCTGTTGCATTTGAGTTTGGGTGCAGTCTTGCGAAAGAAAACAGCAGTTTCACCGCTGAGAAAGCCAGAACCATAATGAAGTATTTTTATCATGCTATTTCCACCATGAACGGCGATCTGTTGACCACCTACCACACGACTCGAAATGTGTGGCCTATCAATGTCTGTGACCATGGTCCATTACCATATTTCGTCTAGCATTTATTTCCCATGCTACTAACGCTAATGTTAGCAATGCGGGCAGCGATGCTGAGAAATAGATAATAACCTAGTTTATTTTCATCTGTGAACCAAGACAGGGACTTGTGACATCAAACCCGAAACAAGCTTTGTTCGTATCGTGAAGTCCAATCGAATTTTAGTTTTGTCACCGACTTTTGTATCAGAACCTTTATTTCATCCCGTTTTCTTTGTTTCTTCTCCTAAGCCAAAAGAACCCAGTCGGATGGGGACTGGTCGGCCCCACCGCTGAAAGATATTTCTCGGTCATTGCATCCACTCCTACTCTTTATATCCCATCTTTGCTCATCTCACCATTCCGGATTTCAGGTGAGTAGACTTCACGCCAAACTCCCCCACAAGCTGCATGCACTCGGTCTTCGTTATCATTACCACTTCATGCCGGGCCGGAAAGACCATCCTCTTGGTTGCGTTTCTACCCCTGTACCTAATGCGCTTAGGAAGATAGACTTACGGGCTGTCCTTATTTTGTATTAAGATACTCATTCGAAATAATAAACGAACTCAACTAGGTCATTCATAGGGTTCAAGAAATCAACAGACATAAGTCAGCTCACACGTAACTATCAACTCCAAAACAAACTTATTGCTTCTGTCGAGATCACTTCTTCACATTAGCTACCTCCGTTAGTACAAATCGTCATAGCCTCACTAAACACCCATCACTTCCCGCTAACCCTGCGAAATAGAATTTCGAATGCCAATTTAGTGTCATTTCCTACAAAAAGGGGTAATAACAATCGGACACATAGACCCCTTTAGGTTATGAGCGGTAACTCCGAAGTAAATGAACTTTTGAGATATTTTATTTCTTCCATTCCAAAGTGGCCATGAGATCCCAAAGAAGCAAACGAAAGACACCCTTTGTTAACTGAAGCAAACGGTGTCTTCATTCAATTTCGTTCAGCACATAACCTCTGGAAGTCTACACAAGCTGTCAGCGTGAAATTTGACTTCTGGAGCTTTAATTTCCCTCCCTTTAAGAGAGCTTAATGCATCGTGAACAGTGGCGCGCAGCACTAGATATCTACCATAGAATTCGGCTGCAAGACTATCTGTGTGGTATGAAAAGTTTAGAGTCAAAAAGCTGTCATGGTCTGCCTTTCTCAAGGATTTTCACAATAACCTGGATACCAGTCAAGTGCATTTTCAATTGGGTCCTGAGACCAGTTGGTAGTCAAATGCCAATGGTGTGTGTGGCAGTTGGCCCCGCTTACGTGTACGCTCGATCGTGTACTTTAGCCCGCACGTGCCTCCGTTTGCTGTTGTCCTGGTTGTGATGCGCCACTGTCGGTATCCCGGTTTGACATATGTCTACCCCGCCTACTAAGATGTGCAATAAGTTTAAGCCAGATAGACGGATGCTGGTGCCATCACCATAGTCGACGCAGTTCCGTTGTTTGTTTCCATTGGTCTCCAGTGTTTCATCGTGTATCTGTTCAACGTGTGCTTCGAATCCTGGCTTGAGTATACGTTTGCCAGTGAAGTTGATTTGATCGTTTAATCCAATTGAACGTAGCCAAATGGCTGAGTCACATTCAAATCTTTTAACCCAATCAAATTTCGTCAAGGAAGACGCGAATGCCATTTCTGTGCCGTGATTTTCACTTTGGGTTTCCTGGTTATCTGACCTATGTATTTGGCTGACCATTCTACACAAGGGATTTGGTAGACGCAGCTTGTGTGATGATTCGGTCTGATAGGGTCTTTAGCCCTTACAAGGCGTCACTGCAAAGGTGTCGTCATTTCGCAAGGACTTTCTTTGAACAGCGTCTGAAGTGCCACTTCCAGCGGATAACCCTACGGTTTCTACAGGTTTTCGTTTTCATGTCTTCCCGTTCCGGGTAATATCCTCCCCATCTGTTGAATAGTGGACCCTATCGGGCATTATTTTGCTGTAATGCCATACGGAGTCGTTTTAGTTCATCTGCTCGTATGGACTCATCCGAGCATACTTTCTTAATACGATTCACCATCGATCTGACTTAGTTTGATGTAAAGACTCATAATGCAAGTACCTGTGTGAATATGTGGGTTTTCTGTGGATTCTCACTGAAAATCCATGTAGAGTATATAAAGATCCCAGGACTAAATCAGTCAGAATGCAAGACAATGGGCCAAAAAACCTGCACCTCAATCTCATCCAGGTGATTCTAAAAATCCTTGAGAAAGTTTATCTATGGACACAAAAAGTCGGATTCTAATATCTGATTCCACTATGTTGTGTTCTGACTTTAAAGTTTCCATATTGTACACGACAGCGCTAAGTTTGTTTAAGAAGTCTTGAGCTGAGTTTAACCCGGAACTTTTAGACATGTCTGTGTGATGTTTGGATATTTGTCTTACATAAAAGTATCAACTCGAATGTTTTTCTGGACTCTATCTGAAAACCTGATGCCTGACATACTTATGTGCATTACAGATTGCAGCTAAAATGGGCATAATGTGTCGTCCCAGCCGAATGGACCTCGCGCTTCAGAAGATATGAGTCTGATATTCATTGATATGACGGAAAATTCTATAATGTGCATGACTGTGTCCAGTACCAGCAGCAGGTGATTGATGCCGACTGCTACTTACTGGGTCATTTAAAATACTCGTGAGGTTATATTTCTGCGCAAAGTATCAGGGAATCACAGGTTATGAAAAATACCTGAAAAATTGAAATTTGAACAAAATAACTCCACGTTATGGTATGAAGCACTGGAATATTTCGTTGAGAAAAACTATCTACTCTCTTTCTAGGATTACCGAGGTGGCAGCAAACCCATCATTCAAATGGTTTATTCAGCTATCCAATTTGTTATTCATTCTAATGAGTGTGACATGCAGTGGGCCAACTCATCCCATGGATAGGTTTTTCACTTCCATCCTAAATAATAGGAGGATCTATCCATTGTGTTTGCAATAAAGTTTTGCAAACATTGTTGGTGATACTAAAGAAAGTTTTAAAAAAGCTTTTATACTGCTTGCAAAATAATATTTTAAAATCGAAAGTGAAAAGAGCATCCAAAAGCCGGTGTTTGTTGAACTTAGCATCACCCCGCTTGTCTAACGAAACCAAAAAATATTATGGTGTGAGTCAACTTACGCATCAACGCTTATCTTCCCAGGTCAGATAGGGAATTTTGGACGACTATTGATGAGTGTAATTTTCAGTGCTAAGATGACAGTGGGCCTCGGTAGGTCTTTCCGTGCGGAGGTCGTTTGTCGGTTCATATGTTAGGAGATAAAAAGATAGCGTCAGTCATATAAACACACTTATGACAGTCGTTGGCTTGTTCACTGAGCTGGGCAATGTGATTGCAAACGTTTCGTCATTAATCGAGGTGACCTCATCAGTGCGTTAATGAGGAGCGTAGTGGTGCGTAGCGTTGGATTGGTGGTTGTGTGTTGGGTAGTGATGATGTCACCTCGATTGGTGATGGAACGTTTACAATCAAATTGCTCAGCTCAGCGAACAAGCCAACGACCACCATCTACGCTACCTGAGCTACCCACATTTTCCTCTATAGAACACTTATTACAAATAATGTCAGATTGAAAAGCTTGTAATGCATCATTTGACGTATTCTGGTGTTCAGTATGATTCGCGATCGACGAGGTAGAGCTCTGTGTTAAGAAATATCAGTTCATCAACTGACTGATTGGTTACCTGACTCAGCTTGCGATACAAGTGCCTTCAGGTTCATATCCGTAAGTGCCCACCCCACTCTTTATTCACACGAGCGAATAGGTTTAGCATATCCAGTTGAACACTTACGCCCTTCATCAGGTATTTTCCTAACACCATCATCCTACGGAAATAACGTGGTTATTCTGGTTTGTTCACAGCAAATGCAGAGTGCTGTGGTCGATTTATACTTTTTTGAACCCAGTGACAGTGGATATCTTTGACCTTACAGTGATTCGAGACTCAGTTATTGAAAATGTTAGTTCCGCACTTAGTTATTCAGTGCACCTGGATGCCTCTAAAGTGCTTAGCCTGAAGAGCAGATTTAGTTTACGCCCGAGCTGCCCCTTGAGCAACGGCGCCAATTAGTGACCACGCTGTTAGAACACCCCAACGAGATGGCCTAAACACAGACAATTTCTGGTTTGTTACTTCCTCTGGCCGTGCGCATGTTTTTTTCAACTTCTTAATTTATAATTTTCGTCGCCACAGTCCTTCATTGGTTTAGTGCATTTATGGTCTGCTCTTAAAGAGATGATAATACGGTCGCCTAATAATTTAGACGATAAGAGCTCAACTCTCAGTTCAACCGAGGAAATAACCTATTGGTATACAGGAGACTTTTGACCATTTCCAACAGAATGGCACTGATTGTCATAGTTTTCAGCAGTTTGATGAGTGCGAAGAAAACTGTACTAAACTGATGAACAAAGCTCAGAAAAGCACATTTGACTAAAATTCAACCGCCTGAGAAAGAACAGCCTGCTGCTGAGCACCGTTTTGTATGCCACGTGGATTGCTGGCGTAGAAGCCGAAGCCAAACAACACTGGCGATACATACATGCTGTGCTTTCCTTCAAATGTGGAACAAAACGAACAACCCACCAAAGTGATGAAAATTTCACAAACAGATACACAAGAGTTCTCATGTAATGAATTCGAAGCCTATCTGGGACAGATCCAATGGCCTGGAAGTAGGTTTTCTAACTATTTACTGGCTGTCAGATTCCTCAATCAACTCGGAAACTTGCTTCAATAGTGCCAACAGTTTTCTCTGTTCCCATTTTCTTTGCACTACCTCGCTAGTTTTCAGTCTGCAGAAATTAAAGTTCGCCCTACTTTGTTGCGTGCTTGACAAGTCGAAACAGAAATGTAGGTGTTTTTCATCTTTGGACAGTCAAAAGCAAGGGATCAGTCGATCGTGTTCTCACCTGTTTGACATTCTTTCCAGGGGAGAATAGCTGTAATAAAACGCTGTATTTAATATACCTCCTATTGTTTTCTACCGTGGATCATTTTCAGAATCTTTTCCGCCATCAAAAGGACAATGTGACGAGCTACAACTTGGTCAGTGAGATCCTGCTACTTCTAGTCAACCTCGGCAGAGCCGCCACCTTACACAGCCAAATGAAGCTACCGATGTTGCCTCCAGATGTCAAGCCTGAATTGCGTAGCGCTCTACAACCAGTAATCAACAAGACTGGAACAACCGACTTGGACACTTTCACAGTAGAGATATCTGTACCCGGAGCACTTCAACAAGCTCGTCGCTCATCTGTCGAATCTCGAAATTTTCCACTTAACTCTAAATCCCTTTCAAAAGCCCCACCAGTTGTTTTGGAGCTAATGCTTCTCGTGCTAACATGTCTAACCCAATTTTGCCAGGGTCCGTGTTCAGCCAATCAAGATATAATAGTAGGTCCCAATATTGATGGTTTGGAAGCCATTGTGAAAATCCTAACGGAAACTCTGAACTGGCTGAAACCTCGAAAAGTTAAACCGTCTTCCACTCGGACAGCTGAACAGATTGTACGTTTGAAGGTAAGCCTGGACAAAACTGAACGTTTTCTTAACAAGATGAACTTACTACTATTTCTACGTCAGGATATTCGTTTCACTCAAATAAAATTTGAGTGACTGATTAATTTGTTTCGTTCCAGCTTCAAGCTGTTCGATTGCTGCTGAGCACAATGGAAGGTAGAAAAGAAGATCTTGTGGCGAACAGGATACTGAGGATTTTTTCCTGCAAGGACATTGTAAGTTTGTGTGCTTAACCAACACTCTCTTGAAGTAGTCGGCAGCAGAACTTCTTCGGCCTCCACTGCACGACCGTACTCATTAATATTACGTTACACATATAAAATCCATCAATCGCTCATGGAAGGCTAAACTTATCTGAACACATTCTGAAATTAGAGTTTCGGCCTCCGTTATGTCGCAAATGCATTGATTTCTTGAGCAATCGGCTTAGTAAAATTATTAACTTATCTATATTACTACACAGGCATAACGACCTTATGCCGGATAGTAACTGCCTAATAATTTTTCGTAAGTTAGGTGTATTAGGTTTCTAGGAAGTTATCGTGAATGTTCTGTGGTATTTTTATAGATCGCCAAGTGTTTCTACATTGGCAACAGCGACTAAGGGATCAGCCAGCTAATCCGAAAACAGAAACCTCAGTTCTCTGTTGATCATTAACGAACTTGTGTGCAACACGATTTTGCGCAAAGGTGAGAGGCCCATATGGCTGTTTCACTGTTTCCAAACTGATTAAGTGTTTATGTGTTCCTGGTGTCTTGAGAGATTCCCGGTACAAACATTTAGTACATGCGTCGAGCAGTGGGCAGATACTTGCCGAGAGGGACTGATTCCATCAAGAAAAGACTAGATGGCACCTGTGTGGCTCACTGAGTGACACTTTCAGAGTCTGTTCTACTAGGCTGTTGAACGGATAACGGTTATGCCTCTGCTTCTCCAGACTGGGGGTTGCGTTGCAGCCTGTTCCATAGAAAGTTGAAGTATTCTGGTCAACGGTGGCTTGTTGTTAGGGTTTCGAGCCAAAGAGCTTGGATGAGGACCCCCAACTGTCTTCTTTTCTGGGTTTTTCAGCCCCGGCAGTATCTCAGCTTACATGCAGTCATTGACCAACAAGCACCAGGAATTTCATGCCCAATTGGCCATCGCGTGTTAAGTCAGCCTATTGCTTTATTCCCCGCATCCAGCGGGGCTGGTGGGTGAAAGCAGGCTTTTACTTACATCTCCTACCCTTCGTTAGTATTGCTCCTTTGCTCCCTTTCTTCCCACCTAACGACCAACCATTTGTTTGCATCATCTTTCAGCATACCTTTCACAAAATCAAGTAACCCACAGCGTGGTACCGCTCACGTCTGCGGCTTTTTAGACCTTGTTTTTATGTTTTTATCGTAACCTTTATGGTGGAGAACTTTGGGATAGATCGACCAACTAGCTATGCACTGCTCATATTTTATCAACAGACAACTGTTGCTCTTTTGGAACACAAATAGTGGCTTTATTATCCCGACGCTATCGCCTGTGAACTTCAGATGAGTCTGCATCTGTCGGGGAGGACTACATGAACGTTGGTCTACGTCTCGGCCTTCGAATTCAGGCTTTACTACTCGACCAAATCCCCATAATAGCCGCCTTTGTGCTGGATGTTTGTCACATTCCATTATGACCCACACTAGTCAAAATAGCATCCGTTTGTCTTTTTAGTTTGTTTTTAGTTTTTGGTTATTCCGCCAATCATCTTTGACACTGATTCAGTGAGTCAGTCAGTAAGTTGGTTAGATTTCCAGCTCATAAATCATGCACTAAAATTAAGTGGTTCCAGCAGCTACAGGTCGGCTCATCTAAACATGATTAGCCCACATAAAATGTCTTCAAAGTTTGTGAATATTATTTGTGCCATTTATTTCTATACATCTGGTTGCGTAAGGGTTTACAGTTAGCTAGTAGAACGTTTCCTCAAGTCCCACCTTCCAATTGTTGTATAATTCTTTCACTTAAGTCACCAAAGTGTAAAATCTCCCAGGGATCCTGAATCTGAGCAGCGATTATTGGACTTGAACTATACGAATATGATGGTCCCGTTATGTGATGACCATACCTGTGCACACACCGTATACAATAGGATATATGAAATGGTCCTCTTTCCGTGTTTGCTTTGCACGTTACCTGAGGGACTCCAACTGTCGTCTGAAAATACAGTATGAGGGGCCTTGCGCATAAAAAAATGATTTTTTCTAAGGTCCTAGGAGACCGACCATGGCAGAAATTTCAGTGTGTGACAATAAAATGTGGTCCCCGTTTGATGGAAAAAAAACGTTAACTGGTTTTCCAAAGCTTCCTAATGAATTCTGCCGTATTCCCACAACGGGTAACGAGTCGGATTTGTTAGGAGACTGATAAAGCTCTCTGACCTAAGGTTATCGAAATATGTTCTGTAGATATTCCAACGTGTTTTTTATTCAAAATCATTCTCAGCAGGGGCGGACCGTCACACTGAAAAGTAAAATTAAGGCGTCCATCGTTATCGTGAATGCTGTGGGAACTTTGGGATTCACGTTATTCTGTCTGTGTATGGCTGGAGACCCTATAGGTGACGAGCCTGTTGTCATTTCCTTTTGAAACTGTCTAGCTAGGTTTTACCCGTCATTGTACGCTGGGTTTGTGTTACGTGAGTTTCGCAGGTGATACTCGGTCAATCCCACTGATTATGTTTTTCTTCAAAACACCACCCATTTGAGCCTATTTCAGTGATTTTGGAAAGTTTATTCCTATTGACTGCTTTCTATAAGGACACTGGACTTTTAACAACAACCCCCTCCTTTCCCTTTTCCCACCCTTTGCTAGGACTTTCTGCATTAATGCGTAACAGCTATGCACCGGTTTTCCAAGTATTCTGTGCATGACGAGCAGTGTAACGACGAAGAGGCGATTATTTTTGTCCACACAACAGATGAATATCTAATGCATATTGTGGTTTTTTCCCCTAATAATGACTGAAATCTGAGCTCAATGCGACCGTGAGTATTTGCCACTCTTATTAGACAGAATAAATCGGGATCAGTGTTTCTGTATGCTTGTAGGGGCTAACCTTTTGAGGCACAAATTTCCACTTTGAAACTAAAGTGAAATGATATTCGAATTGTTGCTCTCCATGGTTAATGGTATCATCAAAAGACGACGGTAGACCATTCTTTACCGTTCAGATACATGTGTTGTTTTGTGTGAAGACGACAGAATAGCCAGGCGTATATATTTTTGTTCGTCTCCTCAACAGAAATTACGTTCAATCCCGATGCTTTCTAGCATTTTAAAAGGTTGTTAGTCCGGAGGTAGGCCAATTTATCCATCTGGCTGCTAGCGCATAATTAGAAGTGTGTTAGTTAGTGTACTTCTATTACTGCTCCCTAGGAGCATTTTCGATGAGATTATGTCAAGCTGATGGCATGCTCAGAGTGTATTGCCAGGAGCGGACCCTAATACATCCCACGTACCCTGTCAGCATCTCGCAGTCACCAAATTATTTCCAGCCAACTCTCCTCTCTCCTGAGCCAATTCATCAGGGAGACAATTCACCCCGGGGCCATGCAATTGCCAAAACAATAGATCGCGGAGTAATGTATTGTTCGGCAAAAACTGCTTACGAATGAGTATGCCTCATCCAGGTCTAACAGATGTTTGAAGTGTGAATACATACAATGTGAATCGCAACCTACAGTGGCACTGCAGGTCAGAATAGTCGTGGCTAAAAATCTGAGTATTTCACTGGAGGACATGACAAAGACAGTAATCACGTAATCTGGCACGTGTGTCAAATATGTTGAAAACAGTGCTTGAAATCTTTCGTTGCTTCCAACAAGCTCATTTTCAAACGCTTATTCTAATGCATGAGATCACCCGTGTAAAGATTTAGTCGTACTAGATATTTAAAATGGTACAAAGGAAAGCCAGAAAGCCACCACTACCATTCTGTAAGAGGGCCTGGCGTTGTTGTCACCGAACCAATAATCAGATGCGAAATCCGAAAACAACAGTTATCTTCAAAAGTTATGTACATTTTGACATTGTGATCCGTATGTCTCTCTTAAATGAGACCGTTCCAACTGACTCATGAATGTACATGAAATCCGGTGCTCCAACATTCCGATGGTTCGTGGATGAAGGTAGCCATTTTTGTAACGAAGTCGAGAAAAATATGAGATGGTATGCTAAAATGAAATGTATATGTATATGTAAATTGTTATGTCGTCGGCCTTTTCCAGAAACCTCCATAAGGCCTTGGGAAAAAATCCCAAGGCAGCCACGCTCACTGCATTTTTTACCCTTGAATCAAATTTAATGGAGGGTCTGACCAAGCATGTTATGGGTATGGAAGTGCTTACACAGTAATAAGCTCAAAATGCAGAAGACAGAGTCATGGTAACAGCCTCAAGGTACGAACTGCTTTCATCTCTTGTGCACTATCAAGTGGATTACAAACAACAGTAGTCTAAACCAGTTCACAATTGATTATGCTCGCGATAAACTGATCAAGGGAAAAATAAAATTACTTTGATCTGGTTAAAGACTGACTGGCCGCAAGACTTTAGTCAGTCACCTGGTTGCACATCGTTTTTTTTCATTTTTCAGTTTTGGTCTTAGGCAGTTATATGACCTGATGCATACGTTCTTTCGTTTATTAGATGGCCACTATTTACTACCACTACTCTTGCGGTCGTGATTCAAACTGGGCTACCAATGCGATACGGGAATCAATGACTGAGGTTGGACATTCTGTGTACTTACTTGCGCAGCAGGTAATAGAGATCATCCATCCCAACCAAAGGAGCTATTTTTTATGTGCATGCATCTCAGTTTATTTTAAAAACGGATGAAAGACCTAAGAAGATTTATTTTCTGGATGTATTGTTTGGTAACCTATCTTGAGTGCTCATTTTGATCAGTGTTTGCAAACCTTGGGTAGTTCTTTAGAACTACCTATTCGTAATAGCTTTTCTCAGCTTTAGGGCCCCATTATAACATCAAGTTGGAACAGAGATCTATCGTATCGTATTAAGGTACCGTAATTTTTGAGTTTTTAACCAAAGGAAGAAATTATTACTCTTCCTCGCAAAAAATTCCTTGTTTGGTGTGTGCAACTACTTCAAATTGTTGAGATTCTCCCCCCATATAGGACGTAGTCCATTAAAGTTTCAAGCCGTGGGCATTAAATTCAAATCACATGAACCTAAAAGATCGGAAGAGGAATTCATTTTTGCTATTCGACCTATTTTAGAGGTACTTTTGGATGTAAACAGTTCAGTTTTCACCTTCCACAAGTGTGAATTACTGTGTTACCAATGCAGAAGCCAATACACACTTTCAGAATTGTGCAACAGTTAAACTTCTAGTGATATGTTTTTCATCTTTTTTAAGACAGTATATATCGTTGCTTTATTGTTAAATTTATGATGAAGTACTGGTACTTAACGATTTAGTATGTGATTATAAAATGCATACACGTGATATGAATTTTCACATCTTGTGCCTTAGCTCTCACACCACAATCCCGAACTCGCACGTTGCTTTGCAGTCAAGCAAGCGAACACCCGGGTAGAAATCGCTAACATACAGGAAGACTCATACAGTCAAACTTCATGTGACAGTCATGTATTCCATGCCCTAAACTTCTATTCCGATCGAACGGCAACAATCGAGGTAGGTTGCCAGGACAGTTCATCTAGACCTGTCACTTTATTCTTGGAAAGTTTTTTTTTAAATCGGCACACTGCATAGTCATCATTTTGAACTAGTCCACTCAGTTACGTATCTGAAAGAAATGCTAAGTGCAAATACTTCACACACTACCAGTAATTTGTGGACAAACGATGGACGGAATTTTATTATAGCTGTCACAAATGTGCTCCTAAATTATATCATTCTTTTTTTATGAACAGTGACTAATCTAAAACAGCTAAAAATACTCCTTCTACATCTCCCAACTAGCTTAAAGCCGTCTTTAACAATGCATCTAAACAATAGTTCCTGAGGTCCTCTGAGCATTTTTGGTTATCACGTTACAACTCCATACTGTGTCAAATCGATATTAACAATTGTTATCTAGTATTTTATAATAACTATTTGCTGACGAGACTGGTTGTAATTCCGATGAGTGAACAAATTGCATCAACCATACGTGGGTTCTTATTTTTTCAGTGCATATAGTGGGAATTCCAGCTAAGCCAAGTTCAAAATGAAAAAGGGTTGATAGCCTACTTAATATGACTGTCCTGGGTGACTGTCCTCTTAGTGACTGACTGTGTATAGGATGCTTTACTTGTGTACAAGCATGGTTTGATGGCAGAACTTTGTTCTTCGGTCGAACAACTGCATTTCCGCTATGGAGAAACGTACCTTAATAATCACCAATCATGAGCAGGCAGTAGAGCTTCCGGATGTCTGAGTGCAGACAGGAGAGTATGATCGATGGATGTTGGAGTTAACGATCACATACGTTACCAAACAATTAAGAAATCGTGAAGGATTTGTAAACGGAAATAGAACAGGCTGTTCTACTGTCCGCGATATAGAACGATTTGCGGACCTTTGGTCGGTCATAAAACGGATGGCTAACAACAACAAAACTAGACGTAGGTTATCACTAGAAAATAGGCTGGACAAACTCGGGAGGAAGAGTAGACCAGCGGTGGCCGTTTGATCACAAACTTGTCCACACCTCTTCAGGTCAGAGGACCGGATTTCGACTTCAAAGGAACGCTTTGAAAACGTATGGGGTTTCTGAAGAAGTTCAGCTCCACATACCGCTGAGCGTAATACAGTTACTCTAACATTATCTAGCACTTCGAAACCAGAACACGCATGAAAACGTTTGGGCTCTTGCATGAACACACCCTAAAATAGATGGACAGTTGAAAAAGAATCCAGTCATCACCATCCAGGTTTGTTGCCAGGTCGGTGATTGGAGAAATGGCACGCTACCGGTGAAAGGAGAACACCCTTCACTGCGATGTCATTCACTAGACACGAAAGTAAAGATCCCGTCTGTACAGCGTTTTTGAAAAGTGAAATTCTTCAGCGTCTTCCTGACGTTTGTTCGGTGGTCATCAAATACTAAACGATAATGAATGAATACTGCGAATCGGTTCCATAATTTCAGTAGTAACATTTGCCTTCCATTAGATGCGGATGCGGAGCTTGGACACCAGACCATAGACTAGGCGTGTGCTTCATTAGAGATATACATGGTGACACTAGTAATCAACCTCAAACTCTGGATCCGTTGTATACAGGAATACAGGAGGTATGTAAGCTACCCAGCACCATATTTAAAGATCTCTAGTTTAAAGTGGAACAAGAACTCTCGCCATAGGTCGTACTTGTTAGAAAGGCTGTGGACGGGAATTTGCATATCCTCGTTTATCGGAAGAACACACATAGAACAGAGAAATCATCTGAATAAAACATGAGGAGTTCTGAGTCCAAATTCGACAACGGGTAAAAAGATACACTTAGTATACTGGGAAGATAGAACAAAATCCGTCTATATAGAATATTATGAAACAGTAGCTGCCATTGAAATTTCATTGGAAGGAGCTTGAAGAAAATATTCGCCCAACGGCTGCAGCAACAGCAACAAGAACAACACGATCAAATAAGCAAATGTTTCCTGTTCTCATACATCGGAAGCATATATAATGCTATGGGGAGGCTACCATTATCAAAGTGAATCCCATCAGACCCAAAGCCCACTGCTATATAGGGATAATTGGTATCAAGACCGATGATTGTGCGAAAAACAACAAGGTGCGCCGAATCATCTGTATGAACTGCCATAAATACTTTATTTGGCACATTCCACGTAAACAGTCTAAACGGACAAAGGAACCTAACATAACTATTAGAAAAACGATTCACTATCTGTGTTTTTCATATACGAAGATCAAGAAGGGCACGAATCGGCTTGTAAGATGTCAAGTTCTTGAAATGTGCAAATAGATGACAGGTTAGGAAGTTTCTGGACGCATGTTGCCCCTTTACAGTATCAAGCTACCTACAGAAATTTACGCAGTCTACGCACCACTCTCATCAAAGGGTAGTTAACCTATTCAGAAATTTCAAAGTCAGCCGACCATCAAGCAGGCTGGTCAGCCAGCAACCAGTGAACCAACTAGACAATAATCACTAGTTACAAGCCTCAGAAGTTAAGTCCAAAGAAAATCAACCAATTAGCGAATGGCCTAAATGGCCAACCGATAGGGCCAATCATCAGAAACCTAAGCACTGTCGAAGTTACTTTCGACTAATGGACGTACGTAAATACTGGCACAAAAACATTCAACAAATACGCTCTTATGCACAGCTGGACAGGGACGCTTCGCCTATCTGTCGCACATTAACTATGATATCATCCTGAATGGCTACTTGTGAGATGACGTTTGCCGCCTAATCGCTCAGCTTAGTTAACAGAACAGCAGCAAGCCATACACTTTGATCTACCAAAATCAGTTCAATGACGCACGCATTAAGTTAAAAGGCTATATTCCAAAGCGAATCACTCACTACTTATCAGCTGTTTTCCCTTTAGAAAACAACCTGAGTATTGAACTGAATTCAGTATGATGAGCTGGAGTTTTAAGTAAGTAGTTCACTCTTCACTCTGTGAAACAATGGGACTTTCCGAAAGCGAACTATATCACAAATAGAACATTTCCTCTGATACAAAATAGGTGCGTATGATGGAACGAGAACTGGTATAGTTCATGTTTTAGGCTATTTGTCTTTCCCATGAGTAGCTTTATAGAAGGCTGGCAGAAATATGCTTTTCTTTTTGCATCCCGAATCTAGATAGTCAATGAAGACGAACATCTGGATAAGATCGCCTTCCCTGTCATCGCACAATGTAATTATCTATCGACAGACTTTAAAACCCATCTACTTGATTCGTGTCCATTGAACGAGCAGTCCTCCAAAGTGTCGGCGTTGTTTTCAAAAATCGACGAAATTTATGCGGAGTTGCTCTGCAAACAACACTTATTAGGTAAGGCGGCTTTTTATGTTCTGAGGTTTTTCTCGAACCTCGAACCTAGCTTCTTGAATTTCGAAAAGTCTACACTGGTAAGTTACATTTTTAGGTACCGTAGAAAGAAACCAGAATATCATCCAGTTAATTCAGCTTATCATCTGAAAGTATTTGCATGTGCAGCATGTGGGATACAGTCTTAGAATGACTGAAAATTTCGTGTCTACTTTCCATCAATCGTTTCGTGAGTGAATGTATTTTGACATGGAATTGGAGAGAAAATTGGTAGCTCACTTTGTATTGGTGGCGGGCGATTCGTCCACCGTTTCAGGTTCAACTGTTACTGTGGTGTGTCCGAGATGTAACCCTATCTGCCTATTTCAGCCCTGATTATGCCTGTCTACTGCAAAAAAGATTGTGAACTAAACTGCAGTTCTTATCCACCAAACTACCCCAATGGTCAATTCTGCTGGTACGCCCAGTGGTGCAATGGTAGTGGTGATACCCATCCTCATGTTGCACTTTTCAATGTCAAGCTACTTACTTACCCTCCGGATTCAAACAATGCACTTCAATCTGATAGAAGGATGCTTCCATGCCAGTTTCTGAACGATGCTACCAAAGACAATAGATAAGTAAACAGTCTTTCACGTCTGAGTACATTTCAGGTGCAACCATTTTTAGCCAAAGTGGGGTGAAATCCCACCTTGACTGCATTTTCTCACGCCAATAAATCTATCGTTTCAAAATACGGTACCGAAGTATAACTGCATCTTCCTGAAAGCGAATAGAGTGCTTGTGATCTAGCGTCAACCACACTGAAGTTGGGAGGTTATGCAGGATTCTGTGAGGTTTGGCAATCAATCCGTTTAAAATTAAGTGATCATGTGAACAGGCGGAATTTAGGATGTATGCTTCGGAAAACGAGCTAGAATGGGCAACATATCAAATCTCACGAGTTCACTTGTCTCAACATCAAATTCCAGACGTCTTCCAAAACAAAAGTCAAATCTTTGGATCAACCTTAAATAGGTTTAACTTAAATCGCACCATGCACCAAAAGATGAATATATCTTCAAAACACCCAAAATTCTTCGTTCAACATTCCTCGATTTGGTGATATTTGTATAGGAATTTATGATAAGAATCTAAAAATCGTAGTTTTGAGAACAACTAATCGGACGTAAGTGAATTTGGTTTACTAACAGGCAAGACGTCGTAGGCGACAGCTTTACAGGTAATCTCACAATGAAACGATTAGAAAATTTCAGATTAGCCACGAAGCAGATATCTCACTGGAGGAGTGCCTGCTGTGATTAGCTGTGGTGGTACAAATAATTGTCACGCGCTCCATTTTTTCATCGACACGAACATGTTAAAAGGGGAGACGGACCTAATTTGATGGAGATATTCAACAGTGGCTGTGAGAGATCCAGGAACTCTGAATGTGCTCAGACTCCTAAATTCGTTTCATGCCTCGTAATACGCTTTACATAATGTGCATCAAACTTGTACTCCAGCTGGTCGTGGGCAATAATTCATGGAAAACGTCGTTGTTGTTGGTAGTCATTCTTGCCAATGAGGTCGAGAAAGACGTGAATTACGAGGCAAGGAACATGTCCTGCGCTGCACAATAGCCAAGGCATATCAAAGCAACTTAGTTGTTGAACGTTCAGCTACCTTTCGGATACGGATCCAGAATCAACGTCTCTGTTATACCGTTGTTAACGACTGAATAAGTCTGCCGTGTTTTGCTGGAAGAAAGTGCATCGCGACAAACAAGTATTTAAGGCCTACTATCCCTGGTGAAATTCTTCTCATCAGATTGATTGAATGGGTATGTTTTTTTCTACAATCGCTGAAACTATTTTTTTCTTTGGGCAGTTCTACTCCAAAACTCAGTGTTTAAAGATATCGTTCAGCAACATTGCCTCCCTTGATTACAACTACGTTAAAATGTACAAACTAACTTACCGACGTCTTATACTAATTACATGTGTCCACTTCTCTTGTTTTTAGCTCGTCCCGTCTACCGGTCGTTCGCGGAGCACTCCAGCTGGTTCACTGACGCCTGTTTCTACCTCACTGTGTGTATTAACATCATGATCATAGCTTTCTATCCTTTCGAAACTTACTGGTCTTCCCATTATGGAAGTAAGTTTTTGACACTCACTTCACCCCTCTCAAAATCGTCCATTGCATCATTGTTGACGAATAATTGAATTCCCCTCTAGTAAGCGCTCCGAGAGACCACGAGAATTACCTACCACTCCTAGTGGGATCTAGATGAGATAAATTTTGCATGTTTAGATTAAATGCATTCAGCTTACATGCTAGCTGCCATCATCTTGGTGCTGCTTCCCACACATTGTGGAACGAAGAAACAAACGACTTTGTTAACACCAAGACGCCAAAGCAGCTCTCGTTTGCTTCCGAATGTGAGAAAAGTTCGGTTAATATTAGCCACGTGACAAGTAATGAATCGCAGTCATATGATCTAGAGCCAGCGGTACATAGAGGACGGAATATTGAATATAATGAATTGCTGGCTCGGATTCTATCATGTGAAGCCAATTGTTCTCATGTTGATTGACCGCTGTGATATTTTAAGATGCGTAACATTTTGCATTCTAAAAGTTCTCTCTTGTCTCAATTTGATTATTTTCAAACAGTTCATCTAAAAATAGGGGTGACTAGAAGACAGTTACAGGACTTTTTGCAGGGAATTTTAGCCATGGCGGGCTAACCAAAGCCTAACAAGAATGTATTGAGCAGCCAAACTAGCATATATGGTGAATGCTGCATTTCGCGCGCATAAAAAGCAGGATAACCGGTTGTGATCATGTGCTCCTTACTAGGTCGTAATCGACTGGACTCGTTGCTAACGTACGCGCTTGGTTTTCATTTGTTTTCTAAGACAATAAAAGTCTACTTGGTTTCCTGGTAGTAAGTGAATTCGTTTTTCAGTTTGTTGTGAACGACATCACGTAGGGAGAAGCAACACAACAGCTCAAGTGTAGCGATTCTTGAAATGTGCCCATATACATCCCATCACAGATGAATTATATATTGAGATATTATATTGAGATCACTTTGTCGACAATATCTGAAATTAATTCATCCACTGTATTTTTCTTTCTGCTCAAACGCAGTGCGCACAATTTGGGTACATCGGCACCCTATTCCGCTATGGCCACTGCTTCCTTCGGTCTGTCTTGCTTCGCTCTACTTTCTGGCCAAATTACCTGTGTATTGCACAGTTGGTCTTACTAGTTTCAGCGCAGTCGTCTATCTCGGTGGTCTTCATGCAGTCCTGGCACTGGGTTGTCTGAATGTACGTTCAGTCACTTTATTCTTGAAGTCAGAAATAATATTTCAAGCAAGATACACACCACAGTTTGTCAATCTATATACAGAATTTGACAATGTATGCGAACAACATATATAAGTCAGCTAGAGTATAATTCGTGATTACGTCGCAAAAATTTCTCTTCATGACTTAATCCATCAGATGCCCAAAAATACGTCATTTTTAGCCAGATTTGCTGTGTAAACCACAGCATATTACCCCCGATCTTTCTGTCAAAATGGTGTTGAATTCACAACATTGTTATTATAAAAAGTAGAACCATCTACAGCTTACAAGTCCACAGGATCCATCCATCTCTACGCTTATAGAGTATTTTCCGGACTTCCGGTCATAACAGTTGGACGGACTGTGAGCTGCCCCCTTCCTGAAAGTGATAAATCAACGGTGAATCACTCTGCTACAGTCAATCTTCATACCTACACCCTCCAGAAAATTTTCCAAACACATTCAATGGGGTTGTAGAACAGTCTTTTACACTAATACACGGTAATGGACCTGGTTGTCTGAGAAAGTGAAACGAAATTTGCAGGTCAAAACCACTTTTTTCAATACGCTGTAATGAGGATAAACTATTACACGTCATGCAAATACTTATCGACAAACCACCTCACACTAACTCCTTGCAGTTTTCAACATAGCAGATGTAGCGTGTGTGAGACTGAACGGGTCTACCGTGTGCCGGGTGCACTCGTCTTCTGTCTCCAATCCCAATCAAACTTCAGGGTTTAACACTCCTAATTGGCCTAAGGTGGTACTGATCTTGATTTACATACCGTACTCGTAAGAGTTTTACACTATAACAGCTTCAGAACATTAACCCGGTAGCTATTAGTAAATTTTCCTGACCAAATATTCTGCTCCAAAAGTCACTAACAAGGGAACAAAACATATTCTTTTTAGCTACTACTTAGAATTCTCAATCTATGCGTTGGCCTGGAGGAACATCGAAATCTGGTTCGCTTCAGACAATCTGTACCAGCAGCCTTTCTGTCAACAAGTTCCCTCACCGAATTTCCCGAAAAGAAACCGGTAGTGGTACCAACAAGGCTTATGATGGCAAGTACTTCTGTTCAACGCAGTGTTGTCTGCTGGGAGGCCCTCTCTTCGTTCACAACGAATTTGGTTTACTCACTTAAATCGCTTACTTCCTCGTTGACGCAATTTCCTCGGTCAATATATCTGCAGCTGCTGTTTACCATGTTAACAGGACTTGGTCTTTTTGTTCATCCATTTTTTCACAGCCTTGTGGTAAGCACAACCAGGTGTTACGCCATTTCTTGTGTTTGTATGTACTCACCTTTTAATGGTGGAATCATCACCTGGAAAGCAGGAAACCAGAGCGACCTGTTACGTTCCTTTTGCCCTGGCCTTTTCATTTTGCGAGAAACTCCTCTTCTGGGAGTGGCGTTGGATTAAAACTACTTCGCAATAGAATAGAGTGTATGATGAAATAATATTTGGTTTGTTGAGCGCATTGATGATAACGGAATATTCTGGATGTTTTCGAGTGGTTGACGAAATCGCTAGTACATTTAACCAAGTATTCGCCTTAAATGTCTCCTAACACGGTGATTTTGGATGACGGAATGAAACATTACTTGTATAGGTGTTACCGAGGACCGACAGTTACAGCCTATGTGAATTGTGACTCTGTGGTGGTTTCACTGGTGACTTCATAATACCATATGGGAGCCAAGTTGTTTCAGGCAAACGAAAACAAATAATTCCGAATTCAACAGTGATCCTACCGTGAGAGCTCAAAACGAAACTTGTTGCTGGCCTGTAGAACCCCACAACTCAGTTTCTCCCCCATTTAGGGAGAAACGTCCTGGTATGAGCTTATATACCTGTACTAACCAATATCCATAAGCTATTGGTATTGGCTTAGTCTCCTTATAAGGAAGATTATTCAAACTAAGGCAAGGAATTGAGTGAATCTATGGATAAGCCCGAATCTCCTTATTGAAGAACAGTAAGTAGACTGCGGATTAGCTTGCTGTACTGTGTTGCACTACAGCGCCCGCTGATAGGCATTTGTACCGGTGATTATTTACCGCACTTCAACGCAGCTCTTGGATGTGGTCAATCGAGAGGAAACGTTGCTGAATGTGATTCGATCAGTGACGAAAAACGGTCGCTCAATCCTACTGACTGCAGTCTTGGCTCTGGTAATAATCTACATGTATGCTCTCCTGGGCTATCTTTTTTTCCGAGATGATTTCCTATTGGATGTGGAAGCAAATTCGGTTGAAAAGGATAGCTGTCATGACGCTGATATTGCATCGGATTCCCGTAAGTCATTCCAAATTCAGATTAATTCATTTACTACCAAAAGTTCTGAAATTACCTTCAGTTTTATGCTGAGTTAATTATAGCAGCGCACTTTTTAACTGTCGAATATGATATTCGACAGTTAAAAGCCTTTATTTATGCGGAATGGTTAGACTGAACTTGGGAATATTCGTCATTACCCGAAGCGAACGGAATGATTTTAACGCATGACCACATATGGCACTAACCTGAATTTGGCATACACTGGACATTGATAACACACTGATTGTAAAAAAGCTTGCGTCAGCCTTTCAGAAAGAGACGAAGATTGAAGCATGCGCAGAATTGAATAAATGAAGCTTTATTCACAGGTTTTGGAACTAATCTAAACCCGAAGGAATAAAAGTCTATGATTCACCTAAGTAAAACGCAGAATGCCTAAATTCGGTTATCAGTATCAACTGTGCAAGATTTTACCGTCAATAACGGAATAATCTATAAAATAACAAGGAATCCTTATGCTGAGCAGATCAGTAAATTTAGAATTTTCCAATCTGGCATCCCCTTCAACGTACCACCCGAAAACCATTTACGCGCACTGCGACGACAGTTAAACTGTTAGGATGTCGAATTCTCTGACTTAATTTTCCCAAAATTTCGTTCCGAAAATAGGCAACTCCTCTATCCACGGAACAACGGCGTTTCTTGTAAGGTTTCTTCTTTTAGAGAGAGTCCACCCCACCAAAGAGGGTTTCAAAACCTCTTTCACCAAAGTGGTCTATGAAAAGCCGTAAATGGGCTCGTTGGATGAATACCAGTTGACAGGTGGTTGAAGAGTCCGAAACCTCCAAATCGAGATTGTAAATGTAGTTTCGAAGTTTACATATTGTACCATTATCTGCATTTCAGACCTGCCCAAAGATGTGCAAAGGTTCGGCTTTTTATTTTTTTTTCAGAATATCGTCCACATAGTCCTTTGTGCACCAGCATGTCATGATATGAAACCCTGAACGCCGACTCTAGCCCAAGGTCGTACAGAGCAGCAGTGCGCTGCCAACGCGAAACATATACGGCCAGCTATTGTCACGGAATCGCCATTCCACTAAGATATTGAAGCAACAAAAGTCTTATCACGTATACCATGGTATTCAGACACCAGCGGAACCCATGACACCAGACAACATTCAATATCAGTACACAGTAAGGATGTCCAGCGAATAAGATACGCATTAGTAAAATGGCAGTCCCTAATAATAAAGGGAACTTGCAACGCCTCGCTAACCCCATCAGGGGACTGAAAGTTTGAAACCAATTGCTTTGGTGTCCTGCGGCTATTCGTTTGGGCAACATGACGCTTCTTGAGTGTAGGATCTATTAAAATTTTTCGTACTCTTAGTCTTTACTTTTATTTTACCAAGTAATTACTATTTTTTGGATCTAAACCCTATGAAAATAGTCACCTTCACGGTCATGATGGTCTTCTAAGCGGTAAGCTTTTGAAGTTTGTGTTCTCTTTCGTGATGAAATTCGACACATCAAAAGACCTTCTTTGGCGATACGGACTTAAAAAATACATCTTGGTGGATAGACAGCAGTTTTTAGTTAGAAAAAGCTTGGGATTCCATCAGTGACCCTTAGTAGCGTCCTTTTTGTGGCCTGAAAAAAAACAGGCAGCTTGACTGTTGGAAAATTTTAGTTAGAAAAAGCTTGGGATTCCATCAGTGACCCTTAGTAGCGTCCTTTTTGTGGCCTGAAAAAAAACAGGCAGCTTGATGTAACTGTTGGAAAATGCTGAAACTCAAACACTATTGCTTTCGGAAGGCTGGTCATATAGCGGAGCTTTTCATCAGCTACCATCCAAAGCTGGTGGATTCGTCATTCGCCCTTCTCAAGAAGCATCATGTGTCTAATTTTGGAACGCAAACTCCGGGCCACGAGTGAGTTTCAGTAAAATATGCAGTGCATTCCGTACTTGAGCCCACGATTTATCACATGCTTTGGAGCTTCTACACTATTTTCGTGATCACAGTTGGAACAGTTTCTTCATTTAGTTTCCTGTGACCTTACTGGATGCATTTCTGTCTTACTTTGACCTTATCAACATTCGTAATTTCCCCGTTAGCATTATAGCTCAATTAGACCGTGGTTATAAACACAGTTATTTTATTTTCCTTACGCACACGTGATCTGCTTTAGTCCTCTGACTGATATAAGTCAGCCACCTTTCTCAACCTATATTCTAAGACCTTCCACGACTTCTTCATTAGGAGAACCTCTCAAATGCTCAACAAAAGGAACTTTTACGAGGATGAATCAATCAGCACGGCACTGAGTTTTACATCTTCAATAATTATCCTTACATATGCAGTGAATATCAGACTAGCTTTCGCGGTTTTCATTTCCATCTGCATCTCTCCGTCAAGATCATTTAAACAGGCACCCATAGATTTTCTTCTACACTTCTCAAGTAACTCCGGAAAAACAGGAGACGTGCACGATCAGCAGTCACATCAAGGCGCAGGAGGTGACGGGAAGGAATTAAATGAAGGTCGAGCGCCTGGATGAAATCTACTGGGAAGACTGCATGTAGATTGAGTATGACAAGGACATCTCTACTCGTATCTTACTCCCATGCTCTCCTGACTATAACCAAAAGCACTTTCATGGGGTGTTAGCCACTCTTCTTGCTGAAGAATCATGCTCATTTACCTAGTGGTGGTCACTGTCTAAATGTTATCTCCTGTATGTCCAATCCATCTGTTTTCCACTTGATTATCATATCGAGTTTACAAAACCGATGTGTTGGGATGATGCACCAATCGAGACCACTGCTGCTTCTGCTCGCAGAAGACCGGATTGAACAGTATCCGCTGGAGTCGACCCGAAACTACTTCAGCTACCAGACACAATTAAATTGACTAGGGAGCTCTTCTTCCCACTGACACTGGTGTGCTCCAATTTCACATGCTATCTTGCTTCTTATGTCCCCTCTATGTTATCCATACGCTCATTCCCGAATCCTCATCCTGTATAGGTTTGTCAAACATGTAGCTCTACCTGTTGCAGTACGGATGCATACTTGAACCCACCGTAGGCTCAGACTAGCTTGTGTGGTAGGACTGGGCTTTTTGCGTCTTTAAACACAATAACACACTATTCTAGATAGCACGCCAGTATTCTCCGTAACCTCCGCCACTTTCACAAACCGTCCCTCCAAAACCTCAGCGCCGAGAGGTGATTTGCAGTAAAACTTTCCAAAACTCTCAGCTTTCGCCTATATAGAAATATTCTATCCTCAACTTTTGCTGTTGCAGACTAGAGATGTTATCTGTGTCGCAAAATCTTCTCATGAGGTCTTAACCACACGCATCCTCCATCCTCCCGCTGCATCTCCGGGAGTACCTCAAAAAATTCTGATTTATTGCAAAATATTTAAAGAAGTTCTAGGATGTAATGGGCTTTAAAAGCCTATCTCTGTTGATGGTTTTTGGGTCCTCAGATGCAGTGGCGCCCACTCACACGTTTCCCCCAAGTATCTCTTGGACACAAGTTTTTACTCAGTCTTGTTTGCTCTGATGTCATTTATATTTCTACAACTTGATGAGAATTCAATTAGTTACTGAAACCACTGAAACACACCATTCTAATGAGGCTATTCTCGTCATGCATTTACTCATCTAAGAGGACGTAAAGTATCATAATTTCTTCTTGGTGAAAAACAGAAAAATCTAGTAGTTTTCTTAAAGCTATCAAATTCATTTTTCCTTATACCAGCCAACCGGACTTTGCTGAACTGCACGGATCCAGAACAACTCAGTGAACCATTCAGAGAACGCCACTGTGATTCTCTACGTATGTGTATTTTGACAACTCTTCATGAAGGTATCCGAAACGGAGGTGGGATTGGCGATGTCCTTAGGCGCCCAAGTATTCAGGTAAGTTTACGTGATTCTTAATAGCTCAAACTGCCTGGTTATTCTGTACTTGCCGCCTTAAAGCCACCTTAAAGCCATTGTGGCTGTGAGTTTTCTCTGCTGAATCCTACAAACCACGGAAGCCAGTAGCTCGCAGTTTATACCTGAAACCTGTTAGTTCCCGATAAAAATATGTTGTAGGATAATATGTGCGAATTTAGTCTCCTCACGCATCGCCGTAAGCATTTGTACAAAACGAGGATGTTGGCAATAAGTACAGCACTTGCCTCCGTTAGGTGAAGCGTTCATTTAGATTCTTTTATGAGAATCAAGGCCAGGTCATCGGATGGTACTCATTTGAGACATGAATACAGCATTTCAATAATATGATAATTTTCAATGCGTCCAGTGGCAATTGCAATGAGAATGGTAGTTATTTGTGTTGTAACGAGATTGCCGTCTAGCATAATGAACACTTCACTTCCAGCCACTATGTCATATGAAGCATGACCTCTGTGGTGTCTGATAACTTCAAGTATCCAGCTACTTATACAGCCGTGAGGGATGAGTACATAGACCCCATCATTCAGATTAAGCTAGCAGTGATTTTTAGCTTGACCACAACCGAAATGGTATCACACGTGTAACTTTGTCCCAACTCTAGCCTTTCGCGGTCGGATGGAATCAAAACAGTATGTTCTAGTCCTCAAAAAAGACGCAGCGAACGGTTTTTATTTAGGTGGTGTAAGATGTCCAAGCCGTCCAAGTGTTTGATGAGGCTTTTTTCCCTCACATAATCTGAAGTAACTACTTGAAAATGTCGTGAATCCACCCATACTGATTACTGGACTGTAGATTCTATGCCAAACGACAGACCTGAATAGTGAATAAATATCTGAGAGAATGAGCGAAGTCAGCCGATCTAAGTAATGGATCAGATACTCGAACTCTGATCCTACTGATGTATCAAACACTTTTCGGGGCCAAGGTTTGTGAACGAACCATTTAAAATACACATTCATCATAATGGGAAAATTTTCTCCGGTAAAATCGACTTGAATTATTCACCGTAGCGCGTATGGGGTCAGTAATGACATCCTTCTTATTTCACTGGGGCATAAATACAAGACTACGTTCTCCTACATTTCAAATAGCTGTTCAATGCATGATGTCAGTACCCATAACCGCAAGCAAGCTTCTTCATGAGTGAAGCGCTTATATGACCGCTTTGTGACTGTTTCAAAACTTGTCCGTCTAAATAGCCTGGAAGCACAACCTGTTCACCGAAAATAAGACAATCGTCCACAAATTTGAGCTAATCGCGTCTTATCCAAAATTCTCCACATTACTGTATCCACCCATCACACAAGCGAAGCATAATCTTGAAAATGTAAAATCAGACTTTTGTTTGTCGTGTACTTGGCGATGTGATGAATAAAAGTTATGTTAGGCATGATCATCAGTTTTATGAGTGGGATTACTCCATCTTCCTCCGGTTGATTAGTTTCGACAGATGAACTGATCACACTGTATGGGTTGCGCTGGCTTGGCCATGTGCTATGTGTGCCAGTCGACCGACTTCCTCGAAGGGCCCTTTTCGCACAACCACGTGAAGAGTTGAAGAAAGCCAGAGGCGGTCAAACAATGACTTGGCAACGAAGTATGAAAGCCACTTCCAGCAAACTCAGTTGCGCTGGCCATTGCTATCTTCCTGGATAGGGACCCCGAGACGGGCCATATCGATGGTTAGAGACATTGTCAGCCATGGCCTAGTCGCTCGCTCAATGACGCTCATGCATCCAAGTTACTGCTTTCAATGCATAGCTCCTTTCCCAACCCTCCACTCAACAGTCCACCTACAGTGGTGTATTTACGCACTACTTAATTAGCTCCCGCCTTCAATGCGCAGCTACCTACCCCACCTCCCCGAATCATCGGTGAACGAAACTGTTGCAGCTACAACCACTGTACGACAAGTACGCGATTATTACACCTGATGATGATGATAAGTGCATCAATAGGACCAAATCCACATGAGCCATCAAAAGGACAGTTTGTAGAATTTTAACATTTGGTCTACCCCGTTAGCCACATAATAAACACAATGTTTTATGGTGTAAGTGGGAATAAAACGATATACTCAGTCAGTTAATTTGAACCACACAGGTCAATTCCTCCTCTCAAAAGACACGGCAAGTTCTTTTGTACGCATAGGATGGGTCGATATTAATTAATCGTCAATACCGGCATTTTCAGATAAGAGTTATGGAACAAGACGGTGATTGATATTCTGGAGTCACTCCTGTGACTAGTGACTTGAATATGATTTACAGTCGATGAGGTCAATGGTTCAGTCAGCCGAATTAAGTGTGGCACGTGTTCCGATGCGCTCTCACGTAATCTGCGGCCTGTCCGAAACTGCTGGTAAATCTATGTATAACGCGAGAGAATAGATGCTAAGTGCGCTGTGTGTTCTACTTCTCAGGCTGAAACAGCAGCAAAGCGGTTGGATCAGTGCGACCAATCGCAGCATGTAGTTTTGCTTGATATTTATGGTCGAATGGTAGTCTACAGACCGCAGTATAAAGAACACACCTTTCATCTCCGTTGCGTGCACTTTCTGTCGCTCTGTACGCGATCTATTGTGAACAAATTTTTATGGGTAGCCACTGCATGGCAGTGACCAGAGTTGTTGGTTGAGAACAGCTGGTGACACATGAAAAACGTAAGCTGAAATTTTTCAATCTTTGGGGTCAACAGTAATCCTTCATCAGCTGGACCCTAACTCTGTTTCACACTATAAAGCGCGAAAATGGCATGAGACCGCTTTTTACTGTCTCTCCAGTAGCGGGTAGAAGTACTACATCGCTACCGTTCTCGAGTCATCAGGCTTCCAAACACAACATATCTTCCAGTAGAGTAGGCGGACTATACATTTCAGCGGCGAAAACACTAGCCACTAAATCCAGTAATTCACTAACTGCCACGATGGAACATGGGTGGATTCTCCTATCAGTCCACCATAGTCAATCCGAGGCACGCTTTTGTACGGTGAAGCCATACTCCCTGATACGTTGGGGTAGCCGCTCAAGATAAGTGATAAGCTACCGTAACATAGGACATGATCCAATTATTTAGAAACAAACAAGCTGAAGATATGTTTGTCACAAGCAGGGCTAAACCCAGGAAAACATATAGCAAACATTCATTTTAGTGTCCAACGACAACCCACAATATCATGTTACTTAATGACGAACACCATACGAATCTACACAACAGCACGGGCTAGCCGACTTGTGTTATTCTTTGACGTCACAGCGGATAATTATCATGTCGCATCAATATATCACTCCAACAGTCGTCCAAGCTCCTTTACAAAAAATAAATTCGACAAATTTGCTGCAGCTGTGTAAACTGATCAAGATAGGCCAGATGAAGCGCTGATTAATGTAGTAGGCGATAAGCAGAAAGACCGTAAGCACGGGGCTATTCATGTCAGCAGCAGCAGCAGCAGCTAGAGGAAGCCTCAGCAATGAGATCACACGTTGTCAAGACCATGTGTGCGCCAGTGTGGATAGTCCCAAGCCAGTCCATATAGTGTCGCGAAAATAGATCGCTGCATTCTACAAATGGAGCTTAATAGTCTTGACAGACCTCTGATAATATTCGTAGTCTGTGAGAATAATATCTGTGAGTCTTTCGTGGGACAATCCATCTAATAACTTGGTCGTCTGAATATTTCATCAGTACATCCAAAGGAGTATCTAGTATTATTCAGCATGTAGAGTAGTGTAAAGTACATTACGGAGAAAACCTCTCCTAACTTCTACGTCGAAGAATGTCGATACAAAAATGGCGACTTCCAGTGAATTACTTGGACAAGGTAAGCAAGTAAGTGAATAAGCAAGTAATGAGGGGAGGAAAGAAATAAGCAAGGAAGCATTTAGGCCAATGAGTGACAGTCGTCATGCCGTACCAAATATGTTCTTCCTACACCCCAGATATTCTTCGCCCTTGTGAACCTCCCTTCCATGTATAGTTATCACTTGACGTTTTTCGATTTAATAGACGCTTGGTTGTACCAAACACGTGTCGATCGAGCGCACAAAACGGATGCACTCGCACCATAACAGGCGAGTAAAGTAATCGATGGTCACGCAATTAGTGCATAACGTGTGGTAGGAACCAAATCCGAAATCAGTATCCTTCTGTTACGGATGACACGGGTAGGACGTCAGCCAAACTTTGACGATCTAATCATTCTGAAAAACATTGCTGCCTTTAAGCTAAGGATGTTTTCAACACCGATGAGATATTATTTTTAGTTGGCCTGATAGACACTAGTCAGCTGTTGTCGACCACTGCGTGTGTTGATCCATCACCACAACTACGCCCCCTGGTTCATTCGCGATTTGACCAACGATCTCGTTGAACTAAATTTGGCGAATAAAGACACCCTTGTCATTAGTATTCTCCGCTACCAATGCCGCACTCAAAAGGGTTTATGGGTGTAAAATAATCACTGCACAACAACACAGTAGCAACCATGTTCTATCGGGAGATGCAGTTGGATTCCATGGTGGGGGCCAGAAATGCCGGCCAAAATCGTGGTATTCACATATGAAGTACCAGATCTCGTCCCAATGATGACAAATGCCGACCAGTCTCAGGCCCAAGAATTACACATTTGCTTTTACAGTATCCATCGAAAATGCTTTTATAGCGGTGCCAATCACATACGGGTTTTGATGCTATTTTATGATTATTTTGCAGTAGTAGTGGCCTAGGAAGTGACGTTGAGGGCTAGCTTCTTGGTTGAGGCTAGAAATTATTTGAATACAAAGACATCGTGATCAGATCTCCTCTTTCGTTGTCCTTGCTTCCCTTTGTTTTTGGAGGATGCGTCCAAGACATAAGTGGACACTTTCAGTTTCTAAGACTATTCATTTCCACTCAGGTTTCACATCGGACAACTTAAGTTACCTTGAGTTCTCCGCATATGCTTATCTCGCTCCAAGTCCACGACATTACTCCGAACTGGGGTTATGCTGTACAGTCTTTGATTTTACTAGTGCTTGTTTTTGGTGCCACAAATCTCGCTTAAAAAAGGGTTTTGAGTCAGGACTGGTTAAATTCTATTTGGAATTTTTGCATCTGCAATTTGAATACTGTGACACAAAAGTGTGGGAATCATTGGACGCCTGAATAGTAAGAACGCGTTTGTTGATCCATCTAATTTATAGCAAAATTAAAGAGTACTGGTGATAATTAGCAATCCTGCCGCACTACGATTATTACGATTTCATTTGATTCCTCACCCTCTACATAGACACAGTTTCGAGTTGTGTTGACGTGGCCAAAAGCAATGTGAAATTCCAAGAAGCAAGTTGTTATGGGTGGTTGATATTAATATCGGTGATTTGGGAGTTTAAATTGGCCCTTATTGGAATGAAAGTCATCTTGATCTGACCCCCCGCGCAAGTCTTGTAACTGAAAAGCGATTGAGAATTACCATTGCGGAAATTTTCGTGGTTGTCAATCAGACTATTACACTTTCATTGACGACCGTTTTCAGCCCCCCTTCAGGCTTATCATTTACGCCAGTCCCCGAGTTTCCGTAAACGTTATGTTCTACTTAAACTCAAATAATACATCATTCGCGAATAACATCCACTTGCACACTAAATTTATCTCAGTGGGACACTTCGAGAAACTACACCTGAATTCCTCCTTTAAGATATTCTTTCAACTGAGCGTGGACGGTCTGATGCCTACCACGTTGGTCGCCAACCCGTGCTTATGGGATCCGTTTTGACTTATTCACACAGTTTGCAGCTTGTTGTCTGTAGCTGAGCGCTAATTTTAACGTGGAATATATCACCCCTTCAAAATTCTTCCACCTCAGGGGAGTAAAATTACTCGCTGATCAGGTGGTCCTTAACTGTAATTAACCGTACTATCGATTCTGCTTTACGCAGCATATGCCTAACTCTCCTGGCGTTCTTGGTACTTGGTCACGCACAGGCGGCTTTTCTGAAAAAAGGTCGATTTTTTATTTCTGTTTATCAAATCGAAAATTTAACTATGCAACAAATTTTCACACATAAACCAAAAATGGTATTATTGATATCATTGGTCGCAACGCATTGTCCGTTCGCAAACAAACTAATGAAATTAAAGATGTAGTCTTCCCCAAACTCAGAAAACACCCTTTTAATAACTGAACTCAACTCTTCACTGGGCAACAATCTCTTCCTTGGCATTGTCTTAGAAACTACCTGTTGATTACCCTATTTCGTTTCCGCTTACCAAGGAGAACCACTTTTTGACGCGTACGATCTACGACTTGTCATTCTTTGTGATTGTGATCATTATCATTCTAAACGTGGTATTCGGCGTGATCGTGGACACATTCGCTGCACTTCGTCAAGAAAAGCAGGACCGCGAAGAACTGGCCAGAAACAACTGCTGTGTTTGTGGTAAGTAACAGAGCAGTCAGCCAAAGAACTTTATATTAGACGTACTACATGCCTTCTGCGATATCTTGAGTATTAGTAGCGCGATTGATCTCACTACTACAGTTATCCCAAGTAACTTTGAATTATCGCTAGTGGCTGCATCGTTAAACCACATTCTGAAGCTACAGGTCAGTAAAATTTTACTCACTCTTAAAACGATCCCGTGTATTTGAACGCACTTTTTCTGCCCCTGGTCTTGCGACTTACTATGGCAGATGTTGCCAATAGATGTACTATATTGCCATTGGTCTTCGTGAGTAGTTTGGAAATCTCCATACGTTATATCATAAGCACGTCAGACTGCAACTAATGCGCCCATCCTGTATGTCTTTTTCAACCACTCAAAAGACAGCTGTCAAAGTTGATGATATTATCTGAGATCGACGATTCCCCTCGTATGCATAAGTAGGTGTTAACATTCGGGTATGGGCAGTCGTACTCAGAGGCTGACCTGCGAAACAGATGGCAGACAACCAAAATACCAGCTTGGCTTTCACCAAGTGCCTCTTTAACATGTAGTTACTTCCAAGTTCGACTGTTGACGGTGTTGATCAACTTTTTCAGTGGTTAACAGCAGACCAGATACGGGACCCCTTGGATCCCGCTTTCCTGTCGAGGGTTGAGTAATTCATATCAGCGGTAGCTGACCGGAGAGTACTTCTTGGACTTCCAGTACCGTATAAGACACTTACAAAAATAAGACTGTCAAAGAGAGTCTAATTATACTACGGTGTCGAATTTTCAGGTTAATATGTCCTTCATCTACTCAATACACAGGAAGAAGCACCTGTGAAGGAAGCTGGATAGCAATTGACGTTTGTGTCTATTATGTCCATGATTCAACTGAGTGAATCAAAGCCATGCCTTCTGAACCTCTTGTGACCAGGCGTAAGCAAGCTCAGGGAACCTCTGCGCTGCTTTATCAGTGATGATAATTAGTACTAAACTTGACAACTTGCCTTTAAGTGTTTACGCACTGTGGTTACTCGCATCGGATGCGGGGTTGTTTGTTCTTGACACAGGCTTACAAGCTCATGCATAAGTGAGAATACGTTCGTCTACCCAGGCGTGGTAGCTCAGCTGTACCATAGTGGTGTAATGGTAACACGCTCGCCTCATATGCCGGATGTCAAATGCAGCCATAAAAGTGCGCTGCTGATGAGTTCCAGTAATAAGGAAACCCGTACGCATTGCCTCTTATCTTTGATTTGGACTGCACCGGGACAGAAGGAGGGCTCTTGAAGCAATAATAATGTGAATGCAAACCCACAGCTAATACGTCTCTGAAGTCGACTTGTACTTTAATCGGTATTCGCGCGTTTGCAATGGTTGAATGCTATTTTTCCTCATTTCACACATCCCTCTGTTTGTGACTCAGTTCTCTAGCAGTAAGCTGGAATAATCGTGCACACAGTGGATTGTCATTTATCTTATCATTTTTATTACCAATGAATGAAACGGTCTTCTATGAAAACACGCTTGGTAACGGTCAAATACGATTCCTACGCAGCTGTTTTCATATCGGTTGTTGTGTTCAAATTTATTTTATGACTGCACCTTTCTGGCGTGATGTGAGAACCGGTAAATGTTGGGGGCCGGCAGCTGTGCGATCACCGTTCTATGGGCTGACACCGTTTGACGACAGCAATCTGATAGACTTTGTGTAATCCGGGTCAAAATGCCAAGGAACAGCTGTTTAAATGCACTAGTATCTGCGGTAGCAAGCCTGATAATTCATAAATTAATTTTACTGATGAACATCTGGCCGTGCTGTTTTATATATTTCCGAACGCTTTTAAATCGATCTACCTCTTCCGCTGCATGTGCTATCCACTGATGCTAGGACGGATTCAAGTGACTGTTTACTAAGCTTATCGACAAAACAGTTGACAGCAGGTCGTTTGGGAACCGCGTCTACATTCAGTAAACAGTTCTTTGAGCTCAAGATGGATAATCACCACCTTTACGCTTTATATCATTAATCATTCATAGGCTGACATAATCTTCATGTTCCACAATGATATAAGACGGTCAGTGATCCGGACGATTGGTTATTTAACTTATTTTCAGGAACCTTCAATCACAATCTCACCCTCATTGATTGATGGCTTGTGATCTCATGCAACGCTACGAGACTAGTTGTCCCAATGTACTACGCCTTGATGGCTAGTAAACGAAGAAAGTCTGTGAGGCACTAAAAGTCCACAGGAGAGGAAGGCAACCAACCAAGAAGTCATACTATTCATACGGAATAGGTCTTGCTTCAAGTCCTCGTGGATACTGGCGTCATGTCAATCGTGCACTGAATTGCAAACAATAGATCTGGATGTGCGGTTGCCGCATGTATACACCTCTCCTATTATAACAGGCAGGAGACGATCACAAGGAGAGACAGATTCCATCTGTCGTTCGTCTACTTCTTCCCGGCCAGTGTGCAAAAAACGATGCCATTGAAGAAATGTAGGTAGCGACGTAGTATGCTAGCACCATCCAAGTTGCTGATGCCCATCGAAATTCGAACTCTTAGGTCCCTCTCGTGAACACTCTGCAGCTAAGTCCTGCGCCCTAGAGTCAATTACAAAAGACAGTTCCCGGGGTAATGCACCCACCCGTCAGTGAAGAAAGCTGTTTATGAACATGCCATTTCCAGGGCATATAAAACGAATTCTCTGTCTGCTGACAAAACAATGCAAATTTGATGGAAATTTCATAGGGCTTTCTTGCTTCACTCAGGCTGAGTGTAACTTTGTAAACATTCAGCCGCCCAACATTGCATGTGGCTAGCTCGGTCAATACGGCATAGAATAAGAGAATCTACATCCCGATTTTACTTTTATTGGTTCCTGCAGGGATAACAGTCAGGTTCATCGATACCAGGTTGAGCTGAACGGATCTATCCGTGAGTATTACCAGTTGACACTGTAGCAGTTGGAGGTACATAATTAACTGTAGTCATATATCTTGCATAATTTCAGGTCCTAAGTGTGGTAGGACAACAAAGCAGTTTAGAAATGCATTGCAAAGAACCAACCAAACCAAATTCGTGAACCAATCCCTGGGAAAATAATTTTTATTGTAACCTCTCAAGTACCATTAACGTAACAGCTTACGGTGATTTCCCTCTTCAGAAGTTCTTTTTCGTCGTTCTTTCGGAAAGGTAGGTCAATATAACCTCTCGGTCATATCCGTAAGCAACTTCGGCTGAGATGAAGACTGCCTTCGTTTAGTACGAGCAGTGGTTCCTATTGAAGTTTGCTTGCCTGTCTATTCTGTTGTTACATTATTACACTCAGGATTGCAGCGCCCCGTATTCGAACAAAACGGACTGAGTTTTGATGCACATGTGAAGAGTGAACACAACATATGGAACTACGTGTACTTTGTTGTCCTGCTTAGAACGAAAAGTCCGGCGGAATACACAGGACCAGAAAGTTATGTGAATGGCATGTTGAAGGTAAGACTGAATTCAGTGCAGCTAAAACTATTCTTTGCTGAAAGGGTGCTCCACTCTGAGTATGAACACTATCATATTAAGGAGGGCATCGTATTAAGAAGAATGGATATTTAGGAAAGCTAGTCATTTGTGAATGCCATGCCGACTTCACAGTATGGATTTCTTATGGGTGATGCGCTAAATCTGAGTGTGGCGCATATCAGACGTTTTTGTGAAGGACACCATTTTAAATTCTCTGAAGCGTTCCCTGAGCTTCAGAACAAAAACTTGTTTTCCCGAATCCACCAATAAGTCCCTTGTAGCCAGCATGAGAATTAATGCATTCGTCCGAATACGTGTTATAATTTTCGGATGCAGCCGTTGCATAGCAATGTTAAGTGATGCTATTCGGCGTTACTCGTAGTGATACAGTTGCGTAATATTCAGTGGGTTACCAACCATTACAGGATTGGACTAGTTACGAATAGCCTGCGTGTAACTCATGCTCTTTATTCTGTCCATCCTCCAATATTGGGTCCACGAGATCTTCAGTGTTCTCAGATGGAGTTACTGCAAAATATAACCGCTAACCACTATCAGTGATCTACGTGCTGCTACTCTTTATGCAGCTTTTGTGAGAGGTTATTTGAAGTTATAAGTATCTTGGGGGTTGACGGGTTGACAGCAGGCATCTTTCCTGTTCGCTTTTTTCTCCTTACCTAAATGTTCTAGCTATGTAAAGTGTGGCGAACATAAGGTAGTTATCCATCTGTCTTTTTACACCAGCGTTGCTGTTGGTGATCATGGTGGTGACACACAGTACCGTTGGTGCTAATGCCGAGTGATACCAAATCACTGTGCTTCAGTCAGACAAAAAGCAATTTCTGAAACATATTTCCTCTGGGATATTACCATATTTGGTTTACCCGACGAAGGTTGTATATTTGAGAAGTATTTATTACACAATACTGTTTCATCATGTGCACCGAACCTCACCTAATCTCCCATCAACCGGAAGGGTGGTACTTCTGGAAATCTGGCACTTTTGAGGAATTGATATTTTCGAAGATCTACTCAAACCGGAAGCAAATAATTAGTGAACTTTTGCCCTAAATTCTTCCACTCAATCTTTAGATGTTTTCTGCAGATTGTTTAGTTTGTTTGACAGTGGCTCTCGATATGTGAGGAACTACACTTTGCATGTCCCTACTGTAGGGTCATTCCGAAGGAAGTTTCGTGGTAATACCAGATGTTACCGACATCACTTGTAAGCACAGCGTGTATATTTAAACACTTGCGTCAAAACGTCTCAAAAATATGGCCACTGCTAAACTGTCATATTTGTCCCTAACCAGGCAAAGACTACTTACATTCATTTGGTCCGAGAACTTAGAACACAAATAACGGTGAATTGAAAGCAACAAACCAAAACGTTTCAGCGAAAAATACTGAATGCTATACGACCCGGGATCTCCTGTTTAGAAAGCGAAAAACCGCGTATTTCGTAGCGAAGAACACGAACTCTTGGTCTAGGTGTGGTAGGATTGGTTGCGGCACGAACCACGGTGTGTGGTGAGCGTCAAAGCAAACCAAGTAAACCATTTAGCCTCAATTTTGTCTTGCATCAACACATGGGATTTATAGCATACTATCTGGGACGTAAATGTGCTTTGAACGCAATGCTAATCCGCTTACCGCCCAGGTCTCGTGAACCAAGAGCACTTCTTTTTACTTCCACTTCGTTTTTACGTCCATCATTCGGGCTTTCATCTAAACACCGCACAAAGACTACATGCACTGAATTGCGACAAGGGAGTACTTGATAATCAAAAGTTCTTGATGATGTCGGTTTAGAAAACGTAGGACCAACCACGTGTGCCAAGCAATGCTGTTAGTAAAACATTAATCACGCATTACCGATGTGCGTATCTGTTTGCTGTTGTCGCGAGTCCCCATTAATTCGGTTATCACTCCCGACCCAAATGAAACGTACGTGAAGCGTTCGTTTGTTTATCTGCATTCAACCGCCCAGCTGGACAGAGGGTGTTATCTGTGCTCTTATACTCTGTGTCTCAAGCCATCAAAAGGCTTGGTCTGTCGCTCATGCATATGGGATGCGGTTTAACTGTGCTAGCTACCTAGGCACCTCTTACCAATCTCCTCCGTATACAACGCTCTTCTTTCTGTCACCAAGGCGGGTGATGAAAACTGCTCTCTATGGTTTGGCACACCGGACCATGTAAATCAAGTTGCCTTGCGGTATCACTTAATACCACAAAGATGAAAAACTGAAAACAGTTCTCCAGTTTTGCTTCTTTATGGAAATTTGGAGAATAAATTAGGGCCTATTCATGCTAATTCCTCTGACATGGGAGCAAATAGAATGACGCTTGTGAACTGAACAAAGTTGACTGCCACCCGATCGCTGAGGAGGTAATTAAACTTGGCTTGTTTTCAGGAAACATCATTCGAGTTGGAATGAACTGCCTCATGCCAGGACACCACCCCCGTCCAGCAAAGTGAAATGAAGCAAAAGATCAACGGAATAGCGGGTGTTCAATGTGTACCCTCAATTAGCCGCTTAAATATATTCATATAAGAGTTTCAGTTGGCCAGGAATATAGCTGGAATGTGGAACGCACGAGAGACGCAAACGACAAGGGTCTCTTGGGGGACGCAGTCCAACCATAAAGATGGCGAAGATATTACGAGAATGGTCTGTCTCCGGGATAAAGCCAGACCGCCGAGAAATTCCTGTTTGTACATGTCTGGTTTAATCCGTCTAGTGACTGAATAATTAGCAAAATGCTTTGGACGGCTATTGTACAGTAGGTTTATGATGGTTATCTAACTGAATTGTTAATTCTTCTAGCGTCGGTAAATTTACTATACAAGCTGTGATATAAACCCATCGGACATATTCTAAGGGATTAAGAGTGAAATGAATTGCAAATGGTCGATGACCTCAGTCACCAATATCGTTCTGCAAACTGGAAAGCCATTTATGTTTCCGTATTAGATACGTTTTGACCTGAGAGATTAGTGGACCACGACGAAGTTATTGTTTGCGTGGCACTTCTCCTACCAGCGGTCTGGTTGTCGTAATCAAACTACAATCACTTTTACTGAAGGTATCGAACTTTGTCAGGAGCGTTGGATGGATTTGATGGAAAATCGCAATAAAAAATGGTGGAAATATATCAGTGAAAATTCTACCTGACCAACTCCATGAGTAGGATTGGGCAAACTGGTAATAAATGTACTGGTCATTTGCTTCATTTGGTTGAATTTTGTTGAGAAATTGGTGTGTGATCTCCCCAAAGTGGTTCCGATCATATTAGGTTACAAAGACTCAGTGTTTGGAATGACGACCTAGCTGCCTGCTCAAAGGTCCTGAGGCTTATAACACTCTGAGGGCTTGTGAAATGAAAAAATTCCCTGCAAACGTGCAGTGTAAATAATAGTTGTACCAACTAGCAAACTACTTTCGTGAAGCCAACCTTTAGGAGATCTCAACTTCATTTGGGATAACGCACTTTGGTAAAACAAAGTCAAAAAGCCCGCTGAAGAACACTTGTTTAAACGCAAGATTTCTTTGGATCCGATTGCTCCGTTTGACAAACATAAGCATTAGCTTTTTCGTATTAGTCAGCGGTCTTAGCTATTTTAGGTTGCCTTAAAATCCGCTCTCTTGTTGGCCTCGTGTCTAGCCCTTTTCCATCTACTTCTCTGCATCCCCAAGATCGATACTTTTCATCACACCTGCCGTCGAATTCACGAATTTACCGCACTGCTTGATTTCATTCGCAACATCACTGCGCTGAATCATCAGGCAATTGGATGACACATTAGACCAAATGTGTTCCTTCTATTTTGTTTGTGTCCAAAAAGTCCGGCTGAACACACGGTAAAGTGCTCGTTAAGCGGATTGATGCGCGCGCAGAACAACGATTGAGGAGGCGAACAAAGCCGTGAGGAATTCACTAACCGACCATTCTACAATCGGCTAGGTCATCAAAACCGACTAAAATTTGACATCCTCCTATCTGAAAGTAGGCTAGCACGGAAATACACGCAGATCGGTTTTTATAATCCGTAGTAAAAGGAGAGATTTTGTTCAAAACAAAAAAGCCAACTTAGCTGTTTGTTATTTCAAAACAAAATAGGTATTGTGTACATAAATTTATCAACTAATAACGTGAACTTTGGATTGGTGCCTAAATGTGTTTAGACCGTCATTGCTCTGTTTATTACACTGGGTCAGGAATTCGTCTCTTTCTGCACTCTGTAGTTAAAGTTCACCTTCTGGTATAGTCTTTCCCGGTTCAGTGAATTGACTCATTTGTGTGGGTTTGCAAATCATTTTGAACCACATGAAAAAAACATTATTCCGCTGGATGTTTGGGCTTGCTAAATAATATATTAATAAAGTAATATCTTAGTCATTTGACGCAAGGTACAGCCAAGGACTGGGGACGGTACCGCGTTAATGATGTTTGTGCTCTCAATTGTTAATCGTGTCCCCCTTTTAGTCTATGAGAATGCATCTTAAATGGGACCAGATCCGTAGGAAAGCTTCTTGATCGGCTATAAGGGCTGCTCTTCTGTGAAATAGAACCACCTTAGGTGATGATGGCTTTGTCCAGATTTGGCATGCTGCAGAGATTATTTAGTGTAGATAATGTTTAATGCAATTTAGCTTTTCTGTCCAATTTTCAGCTGCATTCGACTCAATTTCGTAGCTTTTCTCATGGCTTGATCAAAGACACTAGTTTATATTCTTGTCTGGGGCATCTAGTTGGACTACGGACAGTCCAAATTAGGCACTCCATGGCACTCCGAGAGCGCCGGCGCGGTAAATGTCCAAGACTAAGCAAGCGTGAATCGGCGTATGATGGAATTTTCATCAGCTGGATTTTTTTAACACTCAAATTAATCAGATAGGCTATAAGGCTTTGTTTTGATATAAAGATGGTTTCCATCTAGTCTATACTCAATATGTTGTCATTTGGCAACAAGAATGAACACATTCTCGCCCACTGACTCAGCTTGTCTAGGGATATGAAGGTTTAAGATTTTATCTATTTTCTATCATAATCATCACAACCATCATCATCGTCATCATCATCGTCATGGACAGGATGCTTCGCTGCCTTACAACCATGATTGACTTGATTGTCCTATATGTAGCTTTTGTTAATTTATTTGGATATAGAAGATAGTTCTTTGTCAAAAAACACGAATGTTCAAAACGGATGTGGTTATTAACCATTATGTCGATGATCAAGTTAAATAAGAGGATAGGCGTTAGCAGTATTGTATACTTTTGCGAGGTTTATGGTAAGTAATTCGACTGGGTTTGTTTCAGTCAATTCTGTGAGTGCAGTAGATAATCCTGTCACCGGTTTCTATTGTGTGTTGTGCTGTAATTTTTCACTGCGCCTAACCAACACTCATGCACTCTTTCGCTGCCTGCCAATACACTTGTGAGTTTGACGTAATCTTTCCCAGCGTTTGCCATTTCAATATAGAAAACCTTGAGGTATGCTTTTTTACCACTTTTATGTGTTAGCACGTTAAACCAGTCCATGCCTTTCATGTGCTTTGCTAGAGGAAGGACCTAAGATGGATCCCAGTTCGGTGTACGTTAAATATTCCAATGGAAAACAGAGGACATGCCAAGCGAAATGAAGAGGCTGCACAGCTTTTAGAGAAAATAGAAAGCACTGACAAGGCGGTTAAGAAAATGGAAAGGCTGTTGCAAAATCTAACCGAACAAGTGAGTTTTTAGGTATCGTAACCTAAAATAATGTTTTTTGGGTTTCGCGAATCATTAACGCTGAGGTTGTTCTTTCGAATGTGTAAAGGCACAGGACAGTCCGCTATCATGAAACTTTAGTGCTTTGACTCTTGTCTGATAAGCACACTGATTGAACTATTCTGTGGGAGCTCCGGTAGTGGATATCCTTGATTTGGATAATAAATCAAAAATTATACAACGGAACATAGAGAGGTGTGAAAGTTACTTGTTTAGATTCTTGTCACTGTTGGCTGCCATCCATTGAGTGTAGACGTTATACGGTGATAAATACAACTCTCTTGAAAGCTAATGCAGAATTCGTCAATGAAGAAGTTATTTTTCATGCTCTGTTTTATTGGTTTTTATTTCTATTTCAGCAAATATTACACCCGATTCCGTAAAATTGCATGTAACAGTCATCACTATTTCTTGCTATAAGGTGGCGCCGGTGGGAGGATAGGAAGCTGTCGTTGGAAAAATGAGTGAAGCTAGACAGGACAGTTCGATATGGGTTGATAGACATTTGCCCATTATCGTGGATAAAGTTGTCTGGTCTGCCAATCCATCGACTAGTTTTCATGGGGATACCATTAAAACAGCCATAAATTCATCTTCATGTAAGAAATTCGTGTTACTTACTACACTAATTTATAGAACATACGCGTTGGGTGTTGCAAAAATAATACTGTATCGTGAAATGCGAACAGTCTGGTTTCAACTGGAGACTAAATGGATTTCCAACTGAACCACTCATTGATGGTACTTCTGTTTCAGTGCAAAGGGGGAAGAATTCTCTCTCTCTCGACGGTGCTAGAGATGACCTTTTGCTCAGTTGTAGCCGAACAACAGCTAGCACGAACTTGCCATATGCCTGCCTGGGATGCGCCTCCTAAGTGGTACGAGCCCCCATTGTATGCATCGTGAGGCCAACTTACTTGACATCTATGAGCCATTAGTTAAGCATGCCGATTGCTGAGGAACTCCCTCCTCCTTTAGACACTTCAGACTTATTCCCTGGGGTTTAGGCAGGATACACGGTGTTCAGGTGCTTAGACTAAGCGCGAACCACATGTGTCATTACTCATTGTGCCTTAGTTTCCGCTGGTGTAGTTCGATGTAACAGTTAAATCAGGAACAGGACGTAAGCCCACCATATACCATATTCGATGCTGTCAATCTTTTCCTTTGAAACGGTCAGTATCGGTCGCTCTCCCTACAACATTCTGGTCTATCCATCGTTGCAGATTAGCCGCAAACGCGTGGAGAAGACAAAAGAACACATTTTGGCCAGCATCGCTAATAGAAGAACAGACGAGTTTTGATTACTTCTCAGGTTGACGCCGGCATGCGTTGAGACAGATGAGTTTCTTTCAACCTACTAACTCAGGCCTATATTGCTCGTATGGACATGCCAAAAATTTATACTTTTGTAATAAAGCTCACTGTCATTGATGCTTCATTGTAATGTCCACTGGAGCAAAATTCTCTGGTTCCTACTTGTCTTGAGAACATTAGCACTGATGACTGTAGTTACGTATTCTATCGTCTTCTATTGGCTCATTCGCGTTTGCCGGCTTTTGAACACCTGGTGAAATCTTCTATAGAGTAAAATAAACCATCTGGTAATTTGCCATCTAGTCTTCTCAGACTAAACTATATTTGAGCGATTCGCTTCCTTTCTTGGAACTAGGGCCATGAAATGGAATGTGTCCTTTTAATAAATAAAGATTTAGCAACACTACCCTGGAAAACAAGGCTGTAAACTGCTCTATATAGTACTCTATAGTACTCCTGTAAAGATAAAACGTGGCTGTTATGTTACTCTCGGGTTTCAAGTTGCAAAATACCCTACCAGGATACTTCTTTAAACGTAATCCGGCGTTTACTGTCCCGTTTCTCACTGAATGAGTGCTTTGCAGCATGCTACACGCTGAGCCACTAATTCGCCATTTGCTTGAACTTCGTAGATTTCAGCGAAATCCATCAGGTGTCACAGCAGGAAATGCAAAAGAGCATGGAGCTCGACAAGAAAGTTCTGATCAAGTTAATTTGTTTTCATAGCGAGCGAATTTCGCATTCTCAACTCAGTGGTTCATTTTGACGTTCAGGGTGTAGCTATGCTGGTGAAGGCATTAATGAGTTTCATTTCTTGAACTGGACTTTCAGTACATGATCTGAACCTTGGAGTTCGTATCAAGATTATTCTGCTAAATACATCATTATACGATGCGCACTAAACGAGGACGTAAGACAGCAAAACGTAAGAAATAAGTAGAATAATAGTGCGAACACTGCTCGGTGATAACTCCGTACATTCAAGCATACGATACCCGAGGAACCTTTTGGAACGCCGTAAAGCTAAATGCTTCACGATTTCGCTGTGCATCTGAATGTTCCATGAATCCCGATGAATAGAAATGCACTAAGAAAATGTGAGAAATAAGGTAGCTCAAGTGCTATTTTCGGAACATTGCTAATGCAACCCAAAAGACCATTATCACCTAATAATCAGGATAGTAAAATCTGCTATACTGACGCTAAAAGCAATTAATTCGACTCAATCAAATCAGCTTATTGTGAACAATATCCCCGGAGGTATTTAATTGCCTTCAGAAATTCTCCTGACAGATAACGAAAATAGGTCGGGACTTTTATTAGCTGGAAAGAATCTAGACCTGAATTCTGTGCGTTGTGTAGCTTCCGTCTGTACATCATTTAAAACAGGAAAGGGGCCATTGGTGAATTATAGCTACGTGCGCGTAAGACGATGAGCTGGGCCACGAATAACATCACCTAGACATTGAGATAATCTGAAGTTCGATAACGAAAAAGGTTTCATCGGATGGCCCTACACTAATGACATAAAACACGGAAGTACAAGCTAGGCTTCAATCATCGAGCGTGCGACTGTAGCTACTAAATGCTTTACGCTACGATTTTAACAGCCGGGAAGACTCGTATGACGGCTCTGACAAGAAGGCGAACAGGAGTTGTACGTCGGAAAAATGAATGAGATTCTCTCAATTTCAAGGGTCTAGGTGCGATCCATAGCCTCACTAATCGGAGCATGGTAAAGCAAGAAGCACAGACTGGCCTGTTTATGGCCCGCAGTTAGATCTGACCGGAATTTCCTGTGTATAGTAATTGGTGTATGTGAATGTCATGCTTTTCTTACACTGCGTGTTTTGGAGTTTGCGTCCTTCAAGAGTTAGTGAAATTTGAATTTCACCATATTCGAACCAAAGCAACCACGGGGGAATTTTTTCACCGAACATACTAAAGATCTTCGTGTTTTCTGAGTGCACAGTTTTTTCGAATATACGTTCACTGTGCTCCTAAAACCATCTCAGTCTCAGACATGCTGCGAAAAAGTGATGTGACTGAGTCCACTTTCCGTTTTAAAATGCACCCCATGAGTTGATGAATTTAATCACAAACATCCCTATTTTTATTAACACCAACAACAGTTCTTCGCGGTTTAGGTTCCCTCCGTCCATAGGTGAGCGAAATGTTTGTTACCAGTCCTTTTAGAACAAAAATCCTATTATCTACCAAAGCTATTTGGCCGTTTTCTTCAAACTGACGCTACAGTGTCTGCGATAAACGAAAGTTTACAAGATTTCTCGAGCTTCTACAGTATTAAGTTGCATCAGTCAGATGAAGGGTTCCGCAGCCAGAAGTTGATACCCACGTTACCTGATGGCAAACTCTCCCTGAACAAGGATGGGTTGAGCTGCAAGACCGTCCTCTACCGCCGCTGCTCATGATGCATGACCCACAGAATAATGAAAGGCGCTGCTCATTTGGACACGTTTACTTCAGTTGGACGCCTTCAGTAACAACTAGCTTTTTTAAGCGCGTTGCTCACCAGGTCCACAGGAAGTAGGTACGTCCAAGTAGCCAACAGTTTTTAGTGTTCCAAGAGCTGCTAGCTGGAGTTTGAGTGTAACAGGGTCAGAGTAGCCAAATAGTTTGCCTTTTATTCATTTCTGTTCATTTTGCAGTTTTTTTCATGTTCAAGAGATTTGATCATTCAATGTTTAAGAGAGCAATAAAACAGCATTCAAAACTACGAGTTGTTCTGCAAACGCCCGTGCCTTTTCAACTACGGTCAGCCAGATGGAATATTCCATTTTTGTGGGCTTAACTGGGCCAACGGCTTCATCGATAGGCCGCGTAAGCCATAGGGCTATTTTGCTACTTAAATTTGCTACCACAGCACTTGCAGGTTTCCGTACGAAGACGATGTGGCTAGTAATTTGGAACATTTTCAATAACGTCGACCACTAAGTCTGTTATTGCTCCCAACTAACAAGTGGGCTGAATGTCATTTGTCGTGTATACCTGACCTAAAGCATCACAACAGATGTTTTGCCACGACCAATTTCCGGATAAAATCAAAGTGCACTTGATTTTCGGTCACCTTCAAATTCAGAGATCCACATTTTTCTGACATTACTAACGTGCTACCATTTTTGTGACAACAGCGTACGAACAATTTTGACACCCTAGATTACTGTCGGTGCGAATCAATAAGCACAAATGGTGCGTCAAGTTGGTGTCCTGAAACAACACCGGGGCGCAACCTCTCCTAAACGATACTGCCGTCATTCTATGCTAGTAGGATCATCTACCTGCACACATGCGTTCCAATCTGGCCCCCTTGTTAGGAAGCATCATATCTGTGCCAACCACAAAAATATGGCTGATTGTTTACCCTTCCAAGCTGGTCTGCTGGCACAGCGGACTTCGCACAGTGGCTGATTGCGTGGCGAGAAATTTAACAAAAGTTCAAGGGTCGCTTTACTAACAGTTTTAGGCTACGGCACTGAAGTCACAACCCATTAGTCAGTAAAACTAACACACACTGAGATGGCGCTCATTTCCGGGTTTTCCCGTCGCGTCCAAAAGCTTCTTATGGACAACCACTTACAATAAATAATACTGACTGCTTATCCACTTAAGCACCCGGTGTCCGCCGTACACAAGAAATAAAACCGAGGGTTGAACACGGGGGCCACTTCTCAAGCCATCAGCATTCCAAACTAGCGACCTATAATCATCAAGTAAAATAAAGTCAACCAGACCGTCGAAACCCACAATATACGGTCTGATCTGATGCATCCAAGGCTTTTATATATATATAATATAATAATATATAATATAATATATATATATATACAGAGAGAGAGGGACATTCACGCAGCCTCATCCTCGCTCACAGCAGCCTACCTACCAGGGCCAATGGTCCAACCAACCAGAAACATAATTATAAATGCTATTGCTGTCTTACTGACGTGTGTTCACTTGAATATAAAGACTATGCAAGCACCTAATGAAAACAAATTCTCCTTGAGTTACACCTTCATATTGAAGTAACCTTCAGTGACACCGGAGNGCTTTTATATATATATATAATATAATAATATATAATATAATATATATATATATATACAGAGAGAGAGGGACATTCACGCAGCCTCATCCTCGCTCACAGCAGCCTACCTACCAGGGCCAATGGTCCAACCAACCAGAAACATAATTATAAATGCTACTGCTGTCTTACTGACGTGTGTTCACTTGAATATAAAGACTATGCAAGCACCTAATGAAAACAAATTCTCCTTGAGTTACACCTTCATATTGAAGTAACCTTCAGTGACACCGGAGAGGAACCGCATCCCTCACAGTGTTCGATTTTCTTCCCTAATATTACAACCAATCATTGTGTGAGTGAGGGAATGAATGATTTGTTTTTATCTACTGGTCTGTTCTTCCATGTCGCACAAATATGAATACGATACACTACTCAGCAGCAGGTGCTTGGTATACAAGAATGATCGAAGACCTCTTCGTGATCTTCCCTACCAAAAACAATGTTCCATTGATTTAATTTAATTTGATTTAATTTCTGACTAGGTTGGTGAATTATGCAGACTGTTGAGATTTGATCATACCGGGGTGCTAAGTTATCCGCGAACGAGTGCCTTGTCGAGTCAAACACTGTTATCAATTATAAAAAGGCATAAATAGCACAGATACTTTAAAAATGCTGGAATAAGGCATGTTCATCGCATCCGCAAGCTGCAGTTTTTTCCACAGTTTATATAGTCCTTACCTACACCGTAAAATTCACTGATAGATACTGAACCCTTCAACTGTCTGCAAATTTCCGTAAGTGTGAGTGATGGAGTGCGAGATATATTACAACGACCAGAATAACGCTGCTTGTGGAGTACTCGATTGAGTTTTAGGATGCACCAGGTCATGAGCTATGCGACTTTATTGTTGCAAGCGCTAGTCTTTGCTGTGGAAGTGATTAGTTCTATCCCCAGGTGATTTACTGTCGTTAATGCCATGAGCACAGCTAGAATAGCTTGACACTAACGAATTTACAGTAGGGTAGTCGGAAAATAGATGCTCAGAGTGGCGGGTTCTTCATTTTTGGAATTTGCCCATCTCAGGCGGTTTAGCTATGTGCTACCCAAGCCACGTTATTATCTACCAAAAACAGCCTTTTGTCACACTATGTGCAAGCTGAATCTTTGCTGAATATACACTCCGGAACCTTGTAAAATGCCAGGCAGTAGCGATAAGCATAAGCGTCTTATACCGAAATACCAAGAAACATTTTGCAAGTCCTTTATACTTATTGAAGATTATTTGCAAATGTAAGCCTCAGGAATGAAAATTCGAAATCGAGGCCTTCTGAATAAAGGCTATACAGTGCCATACATCCGCGAATGGCCGAACAATCATGTAGTCAACCTACACAAACTTAGCACAGTGTCCGTCAGCCATCAGTCATTTCCCAGGGAGAAACAATTTGTCCAGAATAAAGAACTGTATAAGTTATATGGAGGTGAAATAAGAGTCGCCACCTGAGGAACTAGTCGTTACGCAAAGTGAATGGCGTGACTGAAAGAAAGGTGCTAATATCTTGTCAAATGAATATTCATTGCAGTGTTTACTGACTACTAATAGCCGGATGCCAGTGTTTTATAACAATTGAAGAACAATGGGTCCATGTGATACGATCTTCCGAGAGTTCCCAGTTAGAGCAAAATAGCTATATACTACTTTTGGGCTTTTCAGCACAAGTCGACGACTTTTCAGCAAACTTATTAGTAGTGCATTACAGATATACAAGTTTTCACTGTTTATTGTGCGCCAATCACGTAATAATACTATCCTTCCGATCAGGCTTAAGCATTTACATCGAAGGTGATAGAGTGAACTGAGCATATTTTCCGCAATACCGTCCAAGGAAGGAGGTCATGAGGGCAAAGTATAGATTGTCTTTGCCTTGCTGTGCAGAATTCGGTCCTCAATGTTACAGTCATGTTAACATTTACTAGAGTGATGTTCGTGTGCCTGCTCTTTTAATGCAGCTTTTGACACCAAACTAGTTGGCAAATCAGTGAAGATGTGTGCCCTATTAAATGGCCTGATCTCAAGAGCTATGAAGCCTCATGGACCACTTACGCAGTTATTACGCTGTCTACTTCTAGTGTTGCCACTCAAGGCGTTATGCATGTGTATCTTGAAAAAAAGACTCTTCAAAATTTTCTATTCTATAGTTTGATGTAGGAGAGACAATAACTTGGAATAAATTCGCCTGATTCTTCAGATGAATGCATCACTAGCTGGTCTGCTGGGTAACTAGGCGTATTGTTCATTCATTAAACACATATCTGTTGAATGCATTAATTGATGATGTTCACCTTTACCAGTGGTGAACTTAGTGTGTACCTTTCTTAGACGGCCACACGGTGCTCTAAGCTGCTCATGAACTGAGCCGAGATATGAAGAATCGATTCGGATTCCGTGTATATGTTTGACATAGAGCTTGGAAAACTTACAAAACATAGATCTATTGTTGATCCACGAACCGGAATAACATAAAAAGCAGGTGGGTAACCAACACTACCTGTGTAAACCCTAGATTCGTTAAAATCAACTTCGGCTGCCAACTCGCAAACATTAATCTCCCCACAACATACCTTACGTGGTGTTGCAGCACCATTACATTTGGTGGAAAATATACAATTGTCTGTATTGTAGAAACGGTAGCTAGTACTGTCTTTTTCAATTAGGTTTAGGCAACAAAATGGTATGTTTACAGCTTACAATGTAAGTGTACGAAGAAACATGCTGCTCCAGTCAACCAAATGAATCACCGTTACAAATCAAATATTTGTTACAAAGTCGGCAAATATCAATTGAGCAATCAAACAGGAGAGTTCCACCAATCCATGTCGATTATGCACCGTTAAGGTTCTGATTTATTCTTATCCGATCCAGCGAGATCCGGCTTGATAAAATTCAGATCACTGCTGCTGTGTCCTCTGGCACACTTTGCAACCTCAGGGTCCATATCTGCATTGTCCGAGCTCACGACCCCGCTATCCTTCAAACACTGTTCTTGGTCTGAACTTTTGCAATGAATTTCTTCAAAAGAGAGTGGTACGCTCTCTTCAGCATGGATCGAAGGTGAGTTAGAGCGAGAAACGTTGTCCGAAAAACCAGACCTACTGCTGTCACGTTTGCAAGTACCATTGGATATCAAATTACCGCCTGGATGCTCCAGAACACAGTTCAAACGATTTACAGTCGACTTCCGTGTTTGCTCTGTGCCATCGAATGAGCTGTGACGTCCATCGTATGATGTGGTTGTCGTTTCTCCGCAAGAAGTCCTTGGAGAGGAAAGACTTTGTTTCTTGGACTTCATGTCTGGACTCGGATGAACAGGTGGAATAGCACCCAACACATAACGTTGTTCAGTTAACACGACCCAAAACCAAAGGCACACGCCAGCCGCAACAGCCATGAGCGCGGACTGTAGAATGAGATAATCTTTCACGGAAGAAATGAGATAGCGACAGGTGATCTTATGGTAACTCCATATTACCTGGTTCCGCATATTCAAACACTGACAAACATTATGGCCATCGAGACTGGAAGTGTCTGAACAGCACTGATGTTCGTATTCAGGCAAAGCCAAAGATTGAGTTACATTTTTAGTGTGTGTAGTCGGGCGTACAACTTGACATGGATGGCCACTAGAAGCAATCACATTGCCTTTTTGTCCAGAAAAGATGCTTGCCACCAGGCAAAGAACACAGCTGATGAGGGTCAAAATTCCTGTAGCACGCTGTAGAGGTTGGATTCATAGAGAAGAGGTGGATAAACAATGTTATCGTGGGTCAATAAGTTTTTATAATACAATAATGCAAAGCACGGTTTAGTGAAGCTCGTGTGTCTGTTTTCTCTTCCGAGAAAAAGATGAGACTCAATATAACTATAGGTGGCGTGAGCCCCATTACTTTTAGTGTATCAATTCATAAAAAATGCTTGTTACATGTTTGCAACTTGGCATCTTTGTTCCCCTACTTACCTGATAAATATTTAAACAGTTTTATCAGCAAGGGATCGAGGTGTGCAAAAAGAACTCACCATATCTAGTTCGGTCATCCGTTTCTTTTTTTGCTAACCAAACAGGTTGATTCTATTTCTCAATACTAGTCTATCTTTTTCAGGAACTTTTCAGGGACCTGCACATGCAAGAAGATGCAAAAAATACATAGTTTCTGTGCGTCCACAGCAAAATCCTGTTCATTTCTACTACAACAATTGTCAAGTGATCCACTCTCCGTAGTTTACATCTGTGGCCATATTATTGCTCCAAAATTTGAACCGGATGGTTGCTAACGTAAAAGTCAAAAAAAGGCACCTTTTGATACGGTGATCAGTATCAAGTCATTTGAGAAGCACGCACTTGTTATCTTGTGCGTCTGAAGCGTTGAAAAAGATAAAACAATTTCTGAGGTATGCGCGTATAGATTAGATGTTTTGCCGCCCTGACAAATTGTTACATGCGCTGAAAATAAAGGCGATCCTTATGAGCCTGGCCGGTGCACGTAACACAGCTAGTATGGCAGACCGGGAACAGTAAACACCATTCGGATGATCACAAATCAGTTACTTGCCATCAATGAAGTCAGTCCTACACAAGTTTGTCAAAGCACTGCTGAAGCTATATAAGTTTGATAGGCTCAGCGGCCATCCCCCAACATTTAAACTGCATATTTGACATCCGGTTCGATTCATAACCTCGATCCGCGAATTATCTAATAGTGTGCTCTGTTTGTTTTGCACCATCGGTCGTACCATATAAAGACGTATGAGAAGGAATTCCAACCGCATTCGACCATTTCACATTCCGCAGTTTTTCGCTGCTCATCACAGCAGTCCAGATTTTTCAAACTTAGACGAGGCTGCATGGTTTCAGCTGACGTCATGTGTTAATGTGAGCTTACACCTGAAGCGAAATAGCTGTATTCGCCCACCAGGGATTTTAGGACCAGCTGAGAACGGAAAGTTCTATATTGGGACCACATTCTGCATGGTGACTAGTTGGTGTCCAAGTGAATGGTTTTCACAAACTTTTCTATCCTTTTTGAGCAACCTTATTTCTTCTGTCACCCAATGTTGAAAGTGCTCGAATAAAAATAACCAAATCTCGACTGTAATGCGTTTGGTAATGCTTAAAATGGGACATCCACTTGCACGTAGCGTTCACGAAAGCTTGTGAACAGGTGGTGGGCACGGACTGCCGAGTGGATTTTTAAACGTTTTGAAGTGTGATTTCTTACATCTGTTTGGAACTCCCAGTTAATAGTACGAAATTCAAATTGGTCCAGAGTGCATTCTGAAATTGGAATCAGTGAGTCCCATTGAAGGATAGCAGTAGTAATGGTAAACGGGAATTTCCAAAGGCCATACCCTTCCCAGGAACAACTGCCACAGTAAAAACCACTTAACCCCTTATTCTGCTGCAGATGTATGAACCCAGCTGACGGACGAGTTATTCTACCACACTTCCCAAGTGTACCAACTTCATGAACCCTTCTGTTGACAGAAATGCATACAGAAACTGTAACAAATACTGGTGCAGTCAACTTTGCTCTGAACTCTCCTTTCACTCATGATCACCAGTTTTTGGACAAGCGTCACTGGTTCCTCACATGGTGCGCAGCACTCAATCTTTTGGCGACTGTTGTTCACTCATGATCACCAGTTTTTGGACAAGCGTCACTGGTTCCTCACATGGTGCGCAGCACTCAATCTTTTGGCGACTGTTGCATGTAAAGGATGGATTATCCCAAAAAAAGTCTGTGAATACCGATATGTGGTATCCGCATCTAAAACGGCAGCATACCATTATGTAGATTTATTCATATATCATGCAGGGACGAATCACTTACCCGCATCGAAACACTGTGGGATCGGTTGAAAAGTTGGCAGCGGTTTTCGAAGCAAAACACACTTCCAATTATCCCGGTAAATGAAAGCTGGAAAGTCAAATAGGAGAAACATACAAGAAGGTTTGTACCCTAAATGCACATTTAAACCAGTTAACACAATTGTGCGTGTGAAATTATCACAAATTTAGAAAAAAGCCAGGAGCTTAGTCGAAAAATTTCTTCGGAGGCCTAATGACCGAATCCTGCGATATTGGGAAGAATCTAGGTCAAATGTCCTAAAAGTCCTTAGTATGAGATCATGCCTAAACTTCGTAGAAAAAACTCGTTACCCCTCATTCGTTGGTGCAGTTCATCATAGATTGTGAGGTATTTGTCTTCTATATATCAACACACACGTAACACTACTGAACGCACAACTACTAACCCACCGCTACGCACAACTACGCACTGATGATGTCACCTCGATTGGTGATGAGACGTTTGCAACCAAATTGCTCAGCTCAGCGAACAAGCCAACGACCATGTATTTGTCTTCGTTTGTAAACAGAATTCTGATTAGGGCGGGTTCGGCTACTGAACGACAGTGTTCGTCTCCGAAAGCGACCAACCTAAACGGTGCTGTTCCAAAAAGCATGTATCCTACGGGGCCTGACATCGGGCTTGGCCGGGAAGCTTTCATTAAAAAAGCTTTCGAGAAGATACGACTGAAATAGGAGGAAAGTGTTTTCTATGTGCCAGCCGCGGTTAGTTTACCTAAGAACTCCTTAAAAACCAATGCAAGCCTATGAAGTCCAACTTAAATGAGACTTGAACCCCTTTCGGTGTAAGGCACCTGGTTCGATTACCATAACAAGCGTGAGCTTATGACGGTTGAAAGTAATTTGGTCAAAACCGGGTTGGTCATTTCAAAGATCTGAAGGAGGCGACTGTAGGACAAGCAGTGTGCTAAACAAAATAAATATATCTGGACAAAATTAGTTGCAAAAGAAGCTTAGTTATAAGCACGCAGGCTTACAGGCAACAGTGAGCGTCATTGGATAGAAACTGTGTCAAACCAAGTCTTCTGATAAAAGTTCATTTCGGAACATGCATTTGTGGTAGCAGAGATGGCTTCATCATACGTCAATAAACTTCCTAATGGTTGCGATTAGTAAAACTGAGGTTAAATCAATTTGAGCATATATCGATCTACTGATCAGAGCACAACTAGAATGCGTCCTGTGCGCTACGCGGCGGCCTCAACAGCGCTGTCGTTTCCGGAACTGAGAGAAACAGCCATGGTTAGATTGGCATTTAGTGTAGCGCGCAACCTACGTAGCCTTTTCTTGCATAAATGTTTCTGACTGGCACACCTCACCTTTGTCCCATCATTTACTCCATCAGTACATTGTACCGATCTTCGAACGAGCGACAAAAGCTCACCTCTATAGTTGCCAACAATCTTACGATCATTTAATGGTGAGTTATTGCACCGCCTACCGTCCTACTGACCTACATCACCAATGCAACAGAACTAACTTTCTCCTCAAGTTTGCTCCAAACACCCTCTGTTAGCTGCTTCATATGAAGGACAGCTCTCACGAAGTCACCGAAGCCTTGCTTATCCACTCCTGCTAATCCGACATAGACCAAGATTTGGTGAGTGTCAGGCTTACACATATATTGAATATCGTTTAACTAGCCTAAAATACGAAAACTTTGGCTCAAATGCTGACCTAATAAGGGTGAGATCCCTGAACTCAGAACGACTCCATTGTATCAGCTGTTACAAAGCGTTCAGGTGTGCAAAAACCCATTTGAACCTCACAGTGAAAAAGATACTGCATGCTGACCGAAAACACTTGTACTGTCTTTTTCGCGTAATTGTATTTTGATCTTTGATAAATCAGGTGTGCTCTTTTTAAAAATATACTCTCTTTAGTGGTTTCTCTACCCCATACAGAGAAATAAGTCCTGGACGGCAAACTCTATGCTTTTCTGAAGGTATCCTCTTCAGGAGGTTCCTTTTATAGGAACGCTACATATTACAGTTGCTGTTATTCCAGTACGACTTTAAGTATAACGTGAAATCCACAACCCAATATCTCAACACACTGGGATCATTACAGTGCCACCGCCGAAAATATCTGCTATCGCTAATGGTGCTCCGTTCACAAAAAAATCTTTGACTGATTCAAGCTAACCATCAAAATTTTCTCGCTTGTCCTGAAGTTACGGTAGCGACATATGTAAGGACTACCCTAGGACATAACAGAGTTCGTTATTATGGTAATCTTACAATGGAGTTGCATCCTGTTATCTTGGTTTTCCCTGTACTCACCATGTCAACAAGTACAGTTCATTCAAGTAGTAGGTGTATTAAATTCAAAACAAATTTAGCTTAATAGTTGGAGTTTTATGAACTCTTTCCCCTGGAAACCTACCAATCCAAAGTAAGCACGGTTTCGGGTCTAACTGTGCAAGACGAATAGATTTGATCAGATGGCAATACATAAGTTGGATGTTTTTGCATAGGCGCTGACTGCTCCTGCACCATCCGTGACCACAGGTGACAGGGGACACGGCAAGGAAACAAGTGGTCATATTACGTATGGAGCTACAAAAGCTCCACCTGGAGGTTAAAACGCATAATTTTCACCTCTCTGTCATCCACTAAAAGTCGGACAAGAAGCATTTACTGCTTGTTGAAACCACCAAGATTTCATGCATCACTAATTCCGATCCAAAACTGTCGACCGACCAGCAGCATTCTCCTCTGAGCTGAGAATCGTCGACCAACGATTCCACTTGGAGTGGAGGAGACAAGAGTCTAGCTAAATGTGTGAAACGCTAAAGGACAGGAAGACTAGAATGGAAATGATAAATAATGGCGATGTGAAATAACTGA